CTGTCAAAGGAAAGTGAAGAGAAAATGGAACTGACTGCCGAGGAATTGGTGGAGGCAATCTCCGCAAAGCGCGAATCAGAAATCAGTGCAGTTACTGTGAAAGGTCTCCCAGTTGAAGAAGTGCCGATTGTAGTCGTAGCACGTGAATTTACTGTGGAGAAAGAGATAGATGTAAAAGATGTTGATGAGACGTTATTTTCGAGAGAGGAAATCGTGCAAGCTAGAGAACCAGAAATCTTCGGTAAAGATATCCAGGAAGCAGAGGTAACTGAGGAATTGGCTGGAACACTGAGAAAAGAAAGAGTCGCAGATGTATTGGATAGAGTAGAGAAGGGGAAAATTGCGGAGGTAGCGACTAGAGAACCTAGAGCAGGTAGATCTTCACCATCATTGCCTGAAGGTGAAAGGGAAGGTGATGTAGAGCAATATGAAAAATCAGATGAGCGATTGGCAGCAGAACTAGTAATGGATGCCAAAGAATTTCATGAATCTCCAACTAAAGATATCTTAGAGACAGAAACACCTACAGAGGATTTTTGCGAGAAACCATGTGCGGACAGAGAAGATCGTAGTCCGGTATACGAGAAGGAACTGGAGGAAAAGGTAGAGACGCGTGAAGCAAAAGTAATCGAATCTCCGAAAATAGAAACTGATTCTGAATTTAAATCAGATAAGGAAACACGTGTTGACAAGTCCCCCATGGCTGAAGATCATCCTGAACTGGCAACTAAAGATGAGAAAGAAGTGAAAGCAATGATGGAAGACGGAGATAAAGGGATTAGTGAATACGGATACGAAACGACCGAACGTGAAGCGGAAAGTGTTCACATTGAGACATTTGATCCATCTTCTGTAACCGAACCTAAGGAAGATGGTTTTGAAATTACGAAAACGGTTGCGATGCAGGAGGAGATTATGGAAAGGAAGGATGTTATTGAAATTTCCGTGACGATGGTTGCAGTTGGAGACACAATTTGCAAAGAAACATATGGCGATAAAAAGTTTGAAAGTGTAATTTTTAAAGAGGAATTCGAGATTGTGGATAATGGTGAGGACGGAGATGGCAAAACTGACAAATATCAGTATGGAGCGGTAATGTCAGTGCCAACAACCTCAGAAACAGAATCTCTAGGTGAAGCATATGAAGCTACCGTTACATTGTCACCCATACCGGTTTCTCCGTCTGAAATGGAAGCCGAGGAAGCTCGTTCAATTAAAGAAGCTCTCTTGGTTGAGTTTAGAGAAGTTAGGGAAGATCAAATCAAATTATCTGCGGAGAGTGATTCTTGTATTGAAGAAAACGCTGTAGCACAGTCAAAGTTTGTTGGTATTCATTATCAAGGAGAGGAATTCATGGAGGAATATGATCCTGATGCCTATGATAAGGAAGTTGAAGTAGACGAAGCGATCGATGAAAAAGAGAACGCTGTTGTTACAGGAGACTGGATTTATTCCCATGAGATTAAAGACAAGGGTGTTGTGATTATGGCTTCAGAAGTGATTAATTTAAGCGAAAATGAAAATTTTGAGGTTGGAGAAATGGTTTTATTCCCGGATATAATTGCTGAAGAGAAACCACACGATCAGATTCAAGGCCAAACTTTGGTTAGGGGACAGAAAGAGGGTCTTACGGATACGTTGACACTAAAGAAAGTGGTAGATGAATTGCAGAAGAATGTATGGATTGGCGAACCTAATGAAGAATTGGCTGTAGAAACGAGGTTCGCCAACAAAGAAGAAAGTATAGATTCCTTGCCCAAAAATTTGGTACATGAAGTACAGCGTGATATAGGAGACTATGATAGGAGACCACTTATAAGAGAAGATCGTTCCAGTAAAATAGAAGTTAAGGAATGTCAGATCGAGGGGAACAACGTTTCCTGTAAAATAGAAATAATGGAACCGCCAACAAAAGTAAATGATATCGATATTAAGAAACCTACATATGTGGATTCCGAATATTCTCCTTTGCTGGCGGAGTCCGCTGATCTGGGAGCCAGGGAAATATTTGCTTTAATAACCACTACCAAGGAGTTAGTGGATGAAGTCACTGAAGCGGATTGTGGAGTGTTACCTGAAGCCGTTACTGCTGTCGAAGGAGACATTCTTCAGTCGGAATCTGAGGAACTTAAAGTAAGAACAGACTTTGCAGAAAAATCTCACAAGGAACCATTTACAGAAGAATCGCAGGCCAGTTATGAAGAGAAGGAATCTGAACTATTGGAGGAAAACGTCTGTGAAACATGTATAATAAACCCCCCTATGAAAAGATCTAAGTCTGGATTGAAAGAAGTTTATGAGCAAACCGATATAAGATCACCAATGGAGGAGGAACTTCCTACAGACGAAGCAACAAAATTTCTTCAGGAAGAGAAAGATGTAACTTTTCCATATTGCTTGAAACATGAAGGAAAAGCCGTCGGGGAGGAGGTCGCTGACTTTATCTTACATGAAGCAGACATAGCTAGTGCGGAGAGAAGGGATTCTTCAAGCAAATTTCCTGCTGATTATGAGTCTGCACCCTTTTCTAGCAGAATGTCTTCGAAAATTATATCAGCTGAGGACCAAATGTCTGTATTTCCTCCCGATTCAGGGTCGCTAACCGACGGTTTAAAACCGGCATGCTTGTCGTCTGGATCGCAGTCTGATCGCTTGCGTCATGTTCTCGACAGTGGGGAAGAAATTATATCTGAACCTGAATTAGGAGTTATCGTTGTGGAGTCAGATTTGCAGTTCGTAGGACAAAGGTCTGGGGAAGATGTTGGTGGTGCTGAAATTGAACGTAATATTGTGGAAATAGATGTTGAAAAGTCCACAGCTTCGTTACTGGATGATACACAAACTTTTCGTCTTCCCTCTGGTATGGTGTTTGATGTTCCATTACTTCCTTCCTCAGATATTTCTCAAATTAATGATACTTGCGATGTAAGTGAAAGTATGGCTCACGTTACAAGCACGTCGCGTCAGCAGGAGCTTCTTAATCAAACTCATGTTACCGAGACAGAAGTGAAGGAACTTATGTGTGAGGTTAGAGAAGTTACACGACAAATTAAGCAGGAAGTCCGAGAATTGAAACCAGACCTAACTCCCACACCAGAAGGAAGAGAGTCGTCAATTTTGCCACTTTCTGAATCACGTGAGTTTGTAGAACTAGCTGATCTTGGATGCATTAAAGAAGAGCAAGCCATCCTTGATTTTGATGAGAAGAGATCGCAGAGTACTGTCCTGTCATATGCAACACATGGTCCATGTTTTGATACTACTTCTCACGATGAAAAGTTATCTGAAACTGTAGAAGTATTCTGTGGGCCATTTCCGCCTTCTAAAATAGTTGGCTTTAAAGTTAAAGGCGACACAGAGGCCTGTGATCAATCAGACATCTTGGCCACTTTTAGTGATACAAGAATAATGCGAAGTCTATCGCCAGCCACTCCAGTACAGCAGAAATTAAGTACCCCTGAATGTCAGTTACCTGGAGGGAACATAGTGGACGTAGAAGATGTTGCAGAACTGTCAAAGCTAGGAATACCGGCGCAACAGCGAACACCAGAAAGTGTGCCAGAAGACTGTATATGTGAAGAGCGGATAGGTCCTCTTTTGGATTCATGCACAGATAGTAATAACGTAACATCTGGAGAAACTGGTATTTGTAAAGAGATGTTAGATACATCGTCTGTAAGTCGAATCGAAACGTTAACACATAGCTCTTTGGGGTTAAGTTTTATTCCTTCTGGTGTTTCTGGAGCTTCTGTTTCTGCTGAAATACTTGACAAACCCAGTGAACCACAATTTGAAACAAAAGCAGATATCTGTGAAAATGACTTAGAACGAATATTTCTTATTCATTCTCCACGAAGGGGAATTATGGACGACTCCAATATTAAAGAACCACCAGATGTCTTTCTTGAGGAAGATGTTGATTCATTGTCCAGTCAAACGCCAAAGAAATTACCAGTAGACAATGAATTAACCATGGACATTGTGGACGAGCACTGTCTCAGTGAACATGCTATCGATAACTTACATACCATAGAAACCAGTGATAAACCTCGATTTGCACCGACTTCCTTGATAGTAAAAGAAGAAAGAGCAGGTCTGATACAGAAAATGAAGTTGAAGTTCCAAGAGCCGCAGTGTGGTACAGACGTTTATGAAAATTTAATTCAGACAGATGCACATGACGTTCTCAATTCTGACGCTCTTTGTGAGAGTGAGGAAGACATAGATTATGTCTTCAAAGTTCTTCCAGTAGGAGACGTAAAAGAAGAGTATGCTGACAGTGAACAAAATATTAGACCACGGCATGCCTGTAGTTTTGACACACCAGCAAATATTCTTCGATCCCCAACGGGCATATCGATTCCCAATTTATTCAACGGTGCAGCTGTAGCGAAGGTGAAGCTGCAGAACAAAGATCTTGAGGATGAATATTCAGAATTCGTAACAGAAAAAGAGACTCCATTGGCCCAGGTTACTGTGGCTTATGTTGAAAAATTATTACAGGAGTCCCATTCCGAAAGCGCAGAGTCCTTGGTCAATCGTGTGAGGGATCTTCCTGCAAAAGATGATTCCTGGGTTCTAACAGAAGTCGAATCTTCTGACCTTGATTTGTCGGCCGAAACAAAATTACGGGAGACAGAACCCTCGGTTGCAAGTAGCACTGACATTCCTTTAGATGTAGATGTTATGTCTCATGCGCCTTTGGAGCGCCAGCATATCCTGGCGAAAGCAGAACAAGCCTCTGCTGCAAAAGATGTAACTGCCTTAATACGAGAACAATTTATGGAGGTGTTTGTGCCTATTGTGTCCCCTGGTGCCTCTGCGACACCGACATTTGTTTCTCAAACGAACTCAGAAGTTTTATCTCGGGAAGAACAGACTTTAGACATGGCCCAAATGAAAGCGACAGAATTTCCTACGGAATCATCTGGCTGGACAGTAGAATCGGATAAAATCTTGGACATTGCTCAAGATGATATTATAATGAAAGACGATCTACTTGAAGTAACTGTGTCAACTGAGAACGCCAATGGCGTTGTCAGCGATGGTAAATTGTTTAGGACGGAATCCGGTGCTACGCATGTTGAATATGAAACTGGAGTCACGCGATCTCTAAGTGTCTGCGAAAACGTTGTCTCCGATCAACCTTTAACGCTAGATGAGCCTAGTTCTTTAATCGGTCACCGTGGCGAGAAGGATACAGGAGACGTATCACACGACGAGAATTCAACCCAGAATGAATCTGTTAAAACTAAAACCAAGAAGAGGCTTTCTGAGAGGCAAGCACAAAAAGTGTCCACTATAAAGAAATTCACTAGGGAACCTGTTGCTCCCAGTGTCACCAAAATGGCAGATGATCATTTGATAGTCATGCACCGTACGAAGGAACATGATAAAACTTCACATGTAGTTGAAGTCTCAACCAGTGTGACAGTGCCCAGATATCGTGGTTATATGGCGTCCACTCTCTCTAGGGATTTAAAAGTTGAACGTTCATTTGCCGAACGTAGCTCATATTTTAAGAGAGAACCTATTAAAAGAAGAGTTAATACAGAAAGCGAAGACTCGTCAAGCTCCGCATCACCTTCTAAACCGCCAGTGCCAAAACAAGTGTCCACAGGAACTGTGCCCAGAACGTCCGAAACCGCTACGAAATCCAGAGGCGTTGATAGCATATCTACACCCCCTGAAAAGCATGTTCAGGAAACAATGACCAAGAAGTACGTAAGCATTTCGAAACGCAATAAACCAACGGTGTCGGCCGTAATAACTCGTTCAACGGCACCTAGGGAAGAGAAATTTGTCACTAGTCGACCTACTTCAACAGGAAATACCACCGTCCCTCAGAAAGTCTCTGCAAGTAGCGGTTCATCTACGTCTGGTGTGAAACAGTCACGCCTCCATTCCACTGTTAACAAATCACCAGTCGAATGTGACGCATCCCAAGATCGTGGTAGAAAGAGAAAATTCGGAGTGCAGTCAAAGTTAACGGATTCTAAGGCACTTGGTAGAAAAAAGGAACAGAAGAGAACGGCCACTGATTCCGAGATTGATGAAAGTCTTTCTGAGGAAATTCCCAACTCGGTGTTTGGTATCAAATTGAAAAATACTGCATCAAAATTGGAATCACACAGTATGCTGGATAATGGGGTTGTTTTGGAAGCCATGAAATATTCGACAGAGCAAACTATGACGGATGGCACAGTAGCAAAGCCAGTTCACAGCAGTACTGAATTCCCGTCGTCTGTAGAAAATAGTGTAACGATTTCCCATCTTCATAACACAGACTTCAAAGACATTGCTATTGCACGCACTATGTTTCCTCCATCCAATGCACCTAGTCCTGAATCATCCCCTTCCATAAAATCCGTACTTGATAAGTCGTCCGCAGTCGCTTCAGAGAGAAGAAATAGTCGCCCTCCGAGTCCTTCTCCGTCCGCATCCCCGGTTCGCGCCGCGACATCGGCTTCGCGAAGTACCGAGCGCTTCGACTACAGTAGCCATACTCCGCCGTCCCTGCCATCCAGCCCAAGCCGTGTGGTGCGACAAATGACTTCCCAGGTTGGAGTGACGCAACTTCTTACTTCCGAGGTTTTCACGCGTACCGTTGATGCGTCTGGCTCCATCGAAGTCATATACCGGCAACCGACTTCGTCCGAGACATTGCGTCGTGTCGCGGTCGTTCCCGGTACTCGATCCTCTCTTCATGATATTGTCCCTGGCGTTTGTAATACCGGTACGGAAGGAGATGTCTCACTCATTGACACTACCGATTCGTCGCTATCCGACTCCGTAGCACTCCCATCCTCTTCCTCGGAACACGATCTGAGCGTGGACACGCGGCTACGCACTGGAGGTTCCCCGGCTTCACCCAAACCTACAAGGCGGTCGTTGGATCTAATCCATGATGGCCCGGGTACAAAACTTCGATCTTCGGATCTGTTGTTCGATTATTGTCCCGTCCCCTCAGCCGCCGAATCTGAACACTTAACTGCGGACTCATCCGCCTCAAGGCTTGAAGTTTCCTCATCAGTAGTCTCGCTTGATGCCGTCCCCAAGATTCGGAGCTGTACTCATGTATCTGAGGAACGTCTGTCCCCGATCTTGGATGTTCGTGCCGTTACACCTCCTAGAATGAAACACAAATTTCAATATGAGTACAACAACGAAGATGAGGAAGAAGAAGAAGAGGAGGAAACCATTGCTGTTTTCCATAGCTCTCCAGGTAAAACAAATAATCCGCCTACGGTACCCACATTCCACTAAACTTTGGCTGCTGCATCCATTCAGAGCATGGCTTCAGAGCTAGAGGTACTCTTACAAAAGGGCCATATGAACGTCTGGGCAGACGGCCACTGGGACTTGGGGTCAGTAAAACTTAGAGAATGTACATTCGAAAATTAGATTCCTTAAACAGTTCGTAAGGGGTGAACTTCATGAAGGTAAGTTTCATACCGATTACAACAAATATGAAGTCGATGTTTTAGAATTTTCTGTAACATAACCACAAGCGATACCATATTCCCCATATGGTTTTATTCAATTTACATTCCCCCCAACATCCGTTATTTCTTTATTCTGATCTCCTGATTGCACGGGACCGATTTTCTGGAATGGTGTCCACTACAGAAGAATCTACACCCAGTCAGTAAGTTAACTGCAAGCAAGGCGCATTGTCACATAGAGTGGTAAGATTCAGTCTGGCTGTACATTTGCCAAACTATGTGTACTTATTAAGCGAAGAGGACATTCGGGTTTTAAAGTTGATTATGCAGCAGTGATAGAGGAAGAGGCTGCAACAGCGACAGACCAAGACCAGGAAATGATTACTATTGATGGCGTTCCCTTAAGAAAACAGTACATTGCCTGGTATCACGTTGGGAAGAGTATCTTTAAGCGAGCTGCAGCCGATTTTTCAGATCGTATTTTCAGCATCTTATTAAAGGATGACAGCATCTCTATGGTAGCAATTGTTTTTGCTGATGGAAGTGACAGTGATCACAGGATCTCATTTGGTCAATTGAAAAATCCGATGACCTCATTGGGAATCGAAACCACGACCTTCTGGCTTGTAATATAGTTGTGTTTTTATGAAATGAGATCACCATAAATTGTTTTTCAATGAATCGACAAGTAGTCTCTTTCCGTCGCTCCACTACCATGAGTAACATCAGCACCAGATCATACTTTTCATTCAGAATTGGATGATGTTTTCAATCCATGAAGGGAGAAGTATTCTCAGCCTTGACTAAAAATTCACCAGAAATTAAATTTAAAGTTAGGCATAGTGTTCCAGACTGGAATGTAGATTGTCATACTGATATTGAAGACGTGGATACTACTGATGAAATTACATGAGAAGGAGTATAGAACAGAGATGGTGTTGGGCCCATAATTTTTTGTCCCTTGAACAAAATGGAGGAATTTTGTGGTACAGTGTCTGTGGTACATAAAAGTTGAATGAATGATAATAAGCTATGTGTATCATTATAATAACAAAGAAATCCATGACTTATAGAGATTTGCTCAAGGTTGGTGCAGACATACTTGATGAATCTGTCAGCCTTAGACCTGAAGGTGCAGAATTACAAAAGACACCTGCTGCTGAAGACAGCACTACTGCAGACAGGCCAGAGGTTTGGATGTAAGATTTTGTGGGAAACCATCTAAGTGGAAGAAAGGAACTTCTGGGTAAAATGTATGGAAGTTAATTGTAAAGCTCGTTCAATTGCTGTATGTCCAGCGAAGATCTTGAACGTGAATACAGACTCCACACCAGCTGAAGGTTTTGTTACGTGTATGCAGGATATGCAAGCAACAAGGGATGGTCAGGAGAACATGAGAAATTGATTGTGAAGTTTCATTAGAGCTGATGTGCCTTCCATACAAGTAGCAGTCAAATATCATCTTCTTACTTAGTCACATGGTAGAAACTCTGTATCCTGCAGTTGTGTATTCAGTCAGAAAACTGAAAATGTCTTTGTAAAAATAGTCATTAGCTTATGTCCCTCAACAACAGTGACTGTTTCAGTTTCTTGCACATCTCTAGGCTACAGGAAACCTCATTAATGCCATGTCCTTGGGACTGTTTGTCCAGTCATGGGTTACGCTTTATGTAGATAATCCAGTTATATGGAAATTGTTGGCACATTTATTGCTTATGGTGAAAGACTGTGATATAGAAACTGAAAAATCAACTGCTTTTCTATGCATTTTGGTCTAACAGTGCTGTCCTACATACCAGTACAGTAGTAAACAGTTGTAGTCTTCAACCTACAGCCCTTGCATTAAGAGTAAGAGGTGGTTGTGTTTTAAAATTGATTTACAAGCTTAGTGGTCTGTGTGTTCATAAAGAAATGTCATTATGAATATTGGGTCAGCCTCTGAAAGTGCAGATTTATGAATTGCACCCAGTCTTGAGTCTCACAAAATAAACATCATGAAGGGTTCTACAATAAACATATCAGAATAAATGGAAAAAGCCCTCTGCATAAATGTCATTATTACTATAATTGCAGCTCCATGCTGGATGCTAGTTGTGACTCCAAGAGGTGAAGGTTTTACTATGCATATGAGCCAGTCACTGAATGAAAAGATTAGAATTTGTGAACATCTAACTGAATACAAAAATATTGACAGTTGTAAGATTCCATGAAAAACTTGCAATGTAAAAATGCCTGTATTTTTTTAAGATCACTGATGATGATCTGCAGAGCAATGGTAATATCAAGTTTGGAAGTAGCACTGTGGTGATAATTGTGCTGGTGCCCATGCTCAGTTAGCACAGAATCAACACTTTTGTTTTTTTTTCTCAACAGAAATGTCAGTATCTTCTGAAAAAATAATGCAAAGTGAAGGGTTAATTTTTATTGTAACTTTTCTCGACATACCCACACAGTGTATCTGTAGATCTCTCGATAAATGATTTCATACTTACAAGCAATAGAGTTTTTGGCATATAGGTAAAAATCGTTAAGTTGATAGAAAACGTACCCATTGAAACAGGTACTTCTTTGCTTACAGTGTGTTCATGCTGCATGCTGCCTGAACTGAGAATTGATGCTGTCAAACATTATGACTCATCCACATGTTAACTTTTCGCATGTTACTATGAAAAGCTGTTTATTTATGTCAGTGGAAGTGATTTAACAGAGTATTCTTCATTTTACATAGCCTCTTCTACAATTTGCCAATCACAGAAATTGTTTAGTCCATTGCAAGGTCTCTTATTACACAGGACAACACAAAAGTAACAGGCATTTTTCCATTTATATCTGAAGTTCCAGTGCTTGAGCAGTTAAAATTATGCATTCATGACCACTGGGATTAGTGAGTGTTCTTTATAGAAGGAAGTAAATGTTTTATGTTATTGTATAGTTCAATGTATCTAGTAACTAATATTCAGGTGGCATTTGTTTTATTAGTAGCAACTCTCATAACTGAATTGGTTTTCTCAGAGCTCCAAATTCTGCCTCAGAAGTGGATTATATGAGATGTTAATTTTTAATGAATTATGACTTCCATTGAAGAAAGCAGTCTTCTGGGATTTGGCACCGTGTATAAGTGGTGTTAACCTTCTTGATTCGTAGCATCTCGAGTCGTCGAATGTGTCGTTGAGTAGCCTCCCCATAGAGGAACACTATGTAAGATTTGAGGCTTTCACGGCGGTGACTATGAAGAAAGCAGTCTTCTGGGATTTGGCACCGTGTATAAGTGGTGTAATCTTACATATGACTTCCATTCTTTGCGCAAAAAATAAAGTACATGTAAATAATTAGTTTCATGCTTAGGGAATTTAGAATTCATAACATACTGCTTACCTGTCTTAATGAACAGTGTATTGGCATTCCAACGGGCTTAATTTCAAATTTAACACCACAACACTAAACAATTTTAATATAAAACAGTATAACAAGATAAAGTATGCGGGAAAGCTTTTTGTTACCTTTTAATTTAGCAAATCAGCACAAACATATGGACCAAATAACATTAATCCAGTCATAATATCATCTGTGAAACCAGGTTTAACGCACATATGTATATATTAACCAATAGTTACTTTGCTCCCAATCATGTTGTATCTTTAGCACCAAATTCTTCAATTTAAATGCCATAAAGTAGTATAAATAGTGTAAGATTCAAAGTTTATATTGTACTTATACATTCCATTGGCGTATGGGTTTAATGTCTGGAAATCTTGGTGAGTACTTGACATGAATATACTGCTTCTTTACGTGTTGCTAATTGTGTGCATGTCATTATTTTTAATGTGAATGATATTCAGCTTCCAATACATAGACATTTAGAAACTGGTGAGATAAGTGTACACTGAACAAAGAAACTAATTGTACTTGCAGAATGTAATCTCATCTGTTTTGTTGGTTTCCTATTTCAGAATGGGCAGAGAAATCACGAGAAAAAAGCAAAGACATTCATACTACAAAATCAGGTAAGAAACCAAACCCCCATCTAGGTATTTGTAATATGTTTTTTTCTAGTGCAGTCTGAAATCAGAATCTGTTTGACTAGATCTTATGAGTTAATGCAGTAGTAGCATTGTCATCGCCATCATAATCAGCAGTAGCAGCAGCAGCAGCTTATGCAATCCCAAAGTAAGGTAATTAAGGAAGATATGATTTTTTGGGAGTCTCTTGTCATCTGGTACTCTTTCGAATCGATGATCATGAAACCTTCCTCCTATTGGATAGTGATCCATGATCTGTTTTAGGAAACTTTCTTCATTACAAGTATGTATACAAATACATAATGGATTTTCAAACTACAAAAATTTATGTTAATTTTGGAGAAACAGTTACATAACACTGCCACAAAAATCACAATTTTATCTCCATATATATATATATGAATATGCTGTGCATGCAAATAACTCCTGATATAATTAATAAGGGGGAATACTGTGTATTTTGTCATTCATATTTAAGTAGCCATAGGACTAAGGCTACTTGAAAAATCCCGAGATAGAGTCATTATCTCTCACTGTGCCTTTGAGTCAGACTTAATATTAGTACACAAGGGGTTAAAGTGCCATGTTCATTTGTTATGAATTTTTCTGCAAATTTAAAAAAAAACAAACAAAAAAAAAGTACATTTTAACACAGTACCATAAAGTCATCACTGAATTTATATTTATTCTAATAGTGTAAGCCATATTATAATATGTACAATGCGTATATATATTGGACTCTTCATACCCGTTTTTTTTTTTTTTTTCTGGAAATAGTAGTAAGACGGAAGGGCATTGGGACTTCGCTGTGAAACCCTCATTACGTTCAAATTCGAAGGTCATTATGAATAAGGCTTTTTATTCTTTTGTGAACAACACTTAAATTAGACCCTTAATTTTTAAATTTTCTATCAGATTTTTGCTACCTTTCAGTTTTAGTAATCATGTTTATAACATTATATACCATGCACCATACATTCTTGCGCATCAGTTGACTGCAGCACAAATGTCAATAGAATTCTTTGTGCTAAATGCTGATGTATGAAATTTACACTCAGAGATAATCAGCAGATTCTGCTTTCATTCTTAGAGTTCATTTGTTAGTGCACACCAATGAAACATACTTGTACTTCATTATTTGTACATGAAACACAACAAATGTGTATCATTTTACATATTTTTCAGAATGTTTAATTTAGTTAATTAATATTGATTTGTCACTGAATTCATTTAAATGCATTTATTAAAGCTGCTTCATGTAATGTGACACTTTATTTATATTGCTATATGGATACAAGAAATGGCAACCACACAGTTTAATTTAATTATTGTAATATATTAATGATTTTGTTTCTCTAATAATGATGTCTTGACTGCATTTATGATGTTTTGTTTAATTCAGTTTCCATCAAGAATGTAGCGCACACTTCACATTTGCATGTGTTTTGCTCATATATGGTTCACTTTTATTACTTGCAAAAAAATCCTTCTTCACAGGATGTTTTCTGATTCAGTGCACTAATAACCTTCCTTATTATATTTATCTTAGACTTGGCAAATTAAGTTATGCTGTATCTATTTGTTCTATTATAATGGAAAGTATAATATACAGGATAAACTTGTTCCTCAAAGCAGGCTGCGGTCTAAAGAGGCAGAATATTTGGATAGTTTGTGAGAAATGCGGTTTTCCCAAGTGACATACTCTTAAAATTCTCTGGAACAAGTGGTGGGATTAAAAACTTTATTTCCTCTTAAATTATGATCTCCATTACAGTTACTTATTATTATTTGTTTTACCATAGCTGTAATGGTTATTCAGCACCAGAGTACCAGCACCATACTTCTCTACTGTTTGTCTCCCACTTGAATTGTGTAAGGTTGATTTTACTTCACTTACAACCAGGAGTTTAAAGTGTAATATTTATATTCCTCTGCCTCTGTAAATTGACTTTGCTTTTTGTAATATTACAGTTTGAATGTCGAGAGACAATAATTATTAAACTTGTATTTAAATCAGCACATTTATATATCTGTAAAGTGATACTGATAATATTGAATCTATTTGTGAAAATTGTGACTCATTTTTCCGTTTCCTTAATATGAGTTGATGGCAAAAGTACTTTAACTTTGAAGTTCATGTACTAACATATATTTTTATTCTTTTCATAACTATATTCTACCAATTACAGCCTGATTAAGATTAAGTCAGATTTTGGGGGTGCCACATATATTTTTAATGAGCTTAGAGAATGTGCTCGTAGATGTGGCTTCATCCATTGTAGTTGATAGCGATAGCACATCGAATTATCTTTCTTTCCCTTGAATATAGTTATCTATATAAATAAGAACCTTTCAGTGTCTCAGTATATCTGTTAACTGTAATCTTAAGGAATGTTTATACTGGAATGTACCTTGTGTATAACAGAGGTTATGTTGGTAGTGGTGCAGGTTGTTGAAATGTGTGATGTTCCTTGTTGTAGTTTATATTACAATTCATAATATATATGTATAGAAGATTGCCACTTATCATGCTTCAAAAAGGACACTTCTTATGTTCTGTTGTAGGTAACTGAAATAACCGTATGCTGTAGAGATTTATATTCAGAGTGTGGCTCTCCACTATAATTTCCTGAAATCCTAAATGGAATAGTCTTCCATCTGTTCATATTATTTCTGTAAGAGGCTATATATCATATTTAACATCTTTTCTGTACATCTGCATAGGATAAATAACTGTGCATTTTTGTCAGATAGCAGATCTCCAACTGAAAGAAGTTGTGTTACTTTCAGTAATACAAGCTGAAGAAAAATATTTTACATTCATGATTCTGAAGTTATAAAATAAGCATGATACCATCACTTCTGTTCAGTTATAATCTGTGGTGAATTGATGTATACATCTGTTATACCGGCCTATGACCACTGTATGTAGNGCCAGCTGGCTGGTGAAGATCCTGCGGGGCTGGCTGGTGTGATGAGTGCTGGCAATTGCTGGCAGACTCACTGCTGCGGTTTTCTCTTGATGCAAGTGTAGTTGTTACTGATGCTAGCGAAGTCAAAGTCACAATGCAACTGACGGTCAGTCAGTCTGTCTGTCTCGGTGTCAAGTCCCAGCTGGGGCTCATGACCAGATGTTTTCTTCTTATATGAAAGTTGTTGTCCTGTCCATTTGGGGCGCCCTCTCTGATGAGAGGTCTGGTCTGTCATTTGTCAGTCATAGTCTATTAGTAAGTCCATTGTCAATATTTACATATATTTACAATTTAATCTTAGCTTTACTTCCTACGTCTATAAACTATATATACAAGTCCTCTGTCAGTTCAGGCTCAGTACAGCAGATTATGGCCTGTTTCTAGTAGTATTCGCTACCATGGCAGTCTAGTCAATTGAACAGTTGTATGCCTGACTGCCTCCAATTTTAAGCCTCCTATACTTTTTATGTCGGGCTTCGCTTTGACCAGTATTGCGGACATGCTCATTGACATGATTTTGTATGACTTCTACTTGTTGCTTCCATAATTTTGATATATAATCATATATGTAAGAGATTTTGAATGCCATGTGCAAATCATGAGTTGGTGTGCGACTTGGAAAATTGACAGTTGTGTGGAGAACCTTGTTATGCAGGTGCTGCAGTTTCACTAGATGGGTGTCTGCCGCAAACTCCCAGGCAGGACTAGCATAAGTCATTACGGATCTAATGAGAGCTTTATGGAGGGTCAGTTTAATGTTAGTGCTCAATTGTTCACTTTTGAATAGGAAATATACTCTAATGAATATTCTGGAGGCCTTGGCTTCAATCATTTCTATGTGTAATCTCCATGTAACTCTCTTATCAATGATTACACCTAGATATTTTGCACTATTTACAAATGGAATATTTCGTCCATTTAGAGTGAGCCAAGCCTCAGGCGGTCGATGACTACGAGAGAAGTAGACCCCCCGAGTCTTATCTTCATCAATTTTAATATTCCAGCGCTCACACTAGGTCTCCATTGAGCTGAGACCGTGCTGGAGTTTTCTAACAAAACCCTTCTTGCGATCTGTCGCATAAAGACAGGTGTCATCCGCAAAGAGGGTCAGGTGAACACCATGTGTTTGGGGGGCATCATTTATGTACAAATTGAAAAGAGTAGGGGAAAGGACCGAACCTTGTGGTACCCCTGCTTCCATTTCCCTTGACGTTGACAGTTCGCCTTCAACCGAAACCCTGAATTTACGTTGAAAAAGAAAGGACCCAATAAGCATGGTCAAACTGTTTGATAATTCCAATTTTTATAGCTTATACAGCAAGCCTGAGTGCCACATAGTATCAAAGGCTTTTTTGATGTCCAAGAACACCGCAGCCATAGATATTTTGTTGTTGAAATTAAGGGTCACATGGTCTGGTAGCCTCATACATTGCAATGTCGTGCTGTGACATGCATGGAAACCAAAATTGAGCAGGCATCTTTCTTCAATATGTTTTTGAAGTAATTTCAAAATCACCTTTTCGAATAGTTTTCCTGTCATAGACAGGAGGCTTATTGGACATAGATTCTGTGGGAATTTTGGGTCTTTGCCAGGTTGAGGTAAAGTTGTTACTTTTGCTTCCTTCAAAGTATTTGGAAAATAAGAGAGCTGAAGACAGTGATTAAATAAATGAGTTAGGTGAACCAGAAGGAAGGTGCCTGAGGCATTCATTTGGGATGCGGTCAATTCCACAGGCTTTTTTTATTTCAGGGATTTTATTAATTTCTGTACGTTACATGGTCTTATCCGTTGAGGGTAGTTGTTGTCTATGGCTTCCAGTAGAGCTTGAACTCTAGCCTCCACTCACCGTTCATGGTTTTCTTCGCACAGATCATGCGGCGTGAACTGAATTTCTAAACAGTCAGCAAATTTGTTTGCTTTTTCGAAAGGATAAAATTTAATGCCAGAAGCATCATGAATGGCAGTTGGTGCCCTTGGTCCGTCCCTCTTTAAGAGGGATTTCGCAATGGGCCATATACCCTGAGGTGTGACTTCAGCGTTACCTATCTTCGTTTCCCACCGTTCAAGTGCCTTTTTCCAGGTCATTCGTCTAATTGATTTTATGGCCCAGTTGACTGCTGTTTTACACGGTGGTGATGCTAGCATGTCGGACGTCCGCATCTTTATACTTTTGCCACTAGGCGGCGCGCTAACCAATTAGTGTTGTAGCTGCTGTGGTGAGCGCTGATTTTGTAGCACTTGCTTCACAGTGGGAGGCTTCCACACTTATATGGTTGATTTATTTGGCTACTGCAATCAGAAGATACTGAATTTGTGTTTGTCTCAAATACTCCAACCATATTGTATGCTTATTGCTCGTGATACACAAGGGATAAATGTTATATTATGTTAAATATTAGAAATGCCCTTTCTATTTATTATATCCTCTTTGCATGATATTTAAATTTAATATTGGTAAACATTTTTTCGTTGTATAATAGTATGTTAGGTACAGAGTGTGCTTCTAATAGCATGTTGTACTGATAATTCGGTGAAGTATCGTTATCAATTACCATGCTGTCATACTTCATTACAAATAAGAAAGGGTGCCTTTAGACATATTAAAATGATCATGGGCATAAAATAAACCTGGCATCTCTATTAAGTTTTCTTTCTCTAATACATATGTTAGCCTAATTCTAGTATAAGCTTCCAACTTTTATATTATATCCGTCTTCAAATGAAAATAAGCAAGATTAAGGATGTCATTGTTTCAGGTTTTCTCTAATTGTTGTTTACTACAATGAATTGTAATATTGTCCAACCCTGGATTGGGTGTTATGCTGTCAAGTAATATAAAGATGGTCATAAAATTGCTAATAAGTATATGATGGACTTGACATGTTCATTGAGTTTTCATTCCATAACAGAAATTGGAATCGCTTTACTGAAAGCTTCGAAGTATTAATATCCTGTGCCTCCTCAATGACAATTTGCAAAAATATAGCTAGTAGTCATGACAGTGTCATTGTCCATTTATATAAGTCTCAGAACTTGGGAACTACTGAACGGATTTTCATGACATTTGATATTGGAGAGTTTTATTAACATTTTTTGATATGTCAAGTTTTTTTATGGTACATATTACTTGGAAAACCTACATGCATTTCAGCACGCATCTCTAGCATAACTCACTAAATATTTATTGTAGTGAAAAAATGTTTTGAATGCATGTTTTACAGAAAAATGAAACAAATTTTATATCTAGTACACTTTTCCACTCATGCAGTTTTCAAAATAATTAAACAAAAGTGAATGAACACCCCAGAATTGCTACTGTACACTATCTTAATTTGTTGTAAACTCATTACATTACATGTTATTACATTTTTAAGTGAGTTAACACTGTTAACCAATGTATGTGGTTTCTTTTCTTATTATTATGTACCACACTTCAATTTTGGTAATATGAAATAATGTTCAATCCCAGATTGGATGTTGAGCACATCAGCAGGCAGTGCTGCAGTTGAAGGGTCGGGATGTATGGGACCTCACTGCATGAAACCTTCCCATCCTCAGACAGTCAGTAGTTTGAGATTAATAACATCAGAACAGCTCCCACACATACTGAGAACTTTACCTGTGAATGTAGGTCATTCAGAGAGTACTTTTCACACACAGTCAGAAATGAAGTATGAATTCAAGTTACCAACATTCTGCAGTCAAAGTCAAGGATCTGAATTGATGGAACAAACTCACACATTTCAAGAGTTTTCACAAGCTAATGACACTGAATCAGATTTGCCTGTAGAAATTGAAACTTTTGACATAAACTTTCCTAAGGAGATACCTTTGAGTATTAGACGAAGTGTAGCAAATAAGCACAGAACCAGTGTGCACATTCAGTCAGAGTTTGATCTCACTCAGTTCTTTCCTGAGATTGTATCATGTCAGCCTACTAAGCCCTCTCAGTTGCCTATGGAGAAAACAGTGCCTATGAATGTGAGTGAAAGTGTCTCATTGCCATTAGAAACATCGGTAGAGACTGTAGGACTACTAACAAAACCCAGAATGACGAGCCCAGCGGCAGCTCAGACAAACAGAAGATTGATGTTGATTACAGATTTGCTTTCAAATGAACATGAAGGTTTGGTATCTTCACAAGTAGCAAGTGGGGATAAATCTGTCGATTATATTGTTAATCCTGAAGAAATTACAGTTGAATGCAAGAATCTTCAGACTGCTGCTTCAAATTACACTGAGACTGCAGTTTCCGAAGATGGATCTCAACTGGGAGATATAGTAGAACAAGTAATCTCAGAAGAGTCAATGAAGGAAATTCTACTAGAAACAACTGAAAACTTCAAATTCCACTCAGAACTGAAGAATGAAATACAGGCATCTCCTATTCCAGAGACACATGTGAATGTCTTCACTGTTCTGCCACATGAAGAAACCATGATAGAACTCTTACCTCGGAAGATAACTAGAAAGCTAAACATTGAAAATGAAATTTGTGCAGGTTTGGAACAAAGTACTTACAATAAGAAATTTGAAAGTTCTACAAATGTACGAAATTTTCATGATACAATTCAACAAAATGATTTAATTGGCAGTATTCCTGAATCCACGTCACCAGATGAGCTGGGTGAAACAAATGTAGTGTCTCCTACATTATCCCTTTTTGTCAAGCAGAGAAACACAAAGCACAGCAGCAAACCTGAAGAGAATAGTGATCCTTTGTGTGATTACAAATGGCATGATAACTGGCAAATGACAAATGGCAAATGGTGTAATATGTGGCCCATAGATTCAGCTCACATTTCTCACAATCCAGAGAAAAGTGAGTGTCCACTTTTCCCCACAAGTTGTTCTACTAATGATGTATTTAAATCTCCATGGGCACAAAATGATAATACTGCTGTACAGATGTTAGTCCATGAAAGTGAGTTCGATGAAGACATTGAGGTTAATGTTTTGGTTGATGACAATCTGAGACACAGCCTGCATGAAATAGAGGAAACTATTGGCCAGTTGGTATCAGATGTGGAGATGGATGAGACACAACTACTGAAACACATATCATTCTTGGAAAGTCCAGTTGTGAAGAGTTCAGGTGCACTTGAGAATGATGATGTAATATGTGACAATTTGGAATCAGAAAATACCGTCTCTAGCACTGCAGTCACCCAGTATGAGGAGCCACAAAGGCAAGGACATTTTGAAAACAACAGACCTGTCAGAGCTGAGGTTAAGCTTTTGGTTAAAACATGTGATACTGGCAAAGAGGCAATAGAAATCCGCAGCATGAAAGAGTACTTGGATGTAGAAGTGGTTCATGGACAAGAAGATAGTCCTTCTATGTACACAGCAGATTTTATTGCTCCCACATGTGTCTTAGAGAGCTTTCAAGAGCAACCAGACTTTCCTCAGAATTTAGAACCATCAGCGAAACATATCCCAGTGAAGCTCATGCAGTCATCTTCTGATTTTATAAATGATGAAAGCATTTTACATTCACATGAACTATCACAGAATGGCTCACTCAAATTAAAAATATTTGAGAACATTCAGCTAGGAAGTGATCTTTTGAAAAATATGGAACTTGTATCATCAATGCGTGATTTAAAACAAGGATATACTTCAGTTACTTCGGAATGTCACCAAGAGCACAACATGGGAAAGTACTTCCATTTGTCCCGTGATGGTAAATTGCTGGATGATTCCACAATACAGAAACCACAAACACCAAAGCAACAAGAACAAAAAGACAAGCAGCTTCAGCAAATTCAGAGACTTTTCATTCGTACACCAAACCTTGCATTATCTGAACCTTTGAACATGTTGCCATCAGTAGGAAGCACCAAGCAGCAGAGCTCAGCTAAAAACATAAAGCCACATGAAATAAAGAAACTTCTTATTCGGTCCCCAAATTATGAAAATTTTATAACATTCCCAATAGTAACACCATCATCATTACCATCTGATTTAAAACCCCTCTCGATTACACCAACACCACCACCCCAACACCTGCCTAAAACAAAGCTTTTTGAAAATCTTCCCAGAGTACCTCTTGCTTCTGATGAAGATCTTAAGTCTGTATCTCCTTTGAGGCAAAACATCTCTCTTGGCAACATTTTTTTTTCATTTTTACCTATAGATGATGTATCAGATATTCCAGATGGCTCGAATTCATGCACTCCTCTTTCACGTTCATTGTCCATGCCATGTTTAGCTGTGGGAATAGGTAGTCCCTCATCATCTACCATTCCACTCAGTAAGACAACCCTTTCACACCCCCTTACAAGGGTTGTATCAATGCCTTTACTTCAGCACGCAGTGTATCCCATAGTAACTGAACTTCATGAAACATACTTGTCCTCATCTCACAGCAGTTATGCAGAGCCAAAAGACTGGAGTTCTGTGTGTGGTGATGACACTAATCAGACAAATTCGCCGTCATCAATTCCAGTTTCCACATTCTCCAAACAAGACATCTTAGCAATGTTTGGTCAACCAAACTCCTCACTTTCCAAGTCACCTGTGTCTTCCAGAAGCCATCACATGAAAAAGTGTGTCTCTTCACCTTCATCATCATCTTCACTTCACACTGAAATAGTAGTACCTCATACCTCTCCAAACTTTTCTAGATATTTTGGAAGAAAATCGCCAGATTTCTTCAATTCCATGTCTTTAAACGATTGTCCAGATCTTACAAAAACCCCACCTAGATCTTCAGGATCGCCAAAACACTGCAGATTCAGTCAGAATTTAAATATGAGTACACTCACTTGCTCTCAAACAACACTGTCTAACACACTAGGAGAATCAGATCCTTGGTACCTACAAACAGAATTCCTATTATCCCCTGTAGCTATCCCTTCAGGATATTGTACCTGGGTCCCAACTCCCGACCAGCAGACATACAGCAGAGGTAAGGAAGGGGTGAATTTTGAAATTCTCACTTTGTAAACAGAGAGCTTTAATGACAATAACTTAACCGTCTGAATGCTAGAGATATTTTCCATTTATTCTAGGAGATTGACTTTCCAACTTATAGTTATGTCCATATGATTGCCATATGACCTTAAGCGCCTGAATTTTACATAGCTCTAACATGCATGAATTTTTTAGTTCTCTAACAGCAAGTTTAATATACATGATCACATGAAGCAAGAACTGCTAGTTAAGTGCCCCATTCAAACAGCATGGTGTTTCAGTTGACATTGAGTGTTTTAAGATAATTAGATTTATTAACCCCGATACAACTCATCTTGCATAATTTATGTATGTTACTGGTAAAGTTTGCAACCAATTATTTTATAATATACCTAGTTATAAAATATATAATACCCAGTTATTTCCTATATTAACTCAACAGTTAATATATGAAATACCCAAGTAATTTGTGAAGTAACAGTTTATTTTAATGGTCATATATTACTGTTATCATTAAAGTGTGTAGTCTGTTATTACCACAGCATGGCGTGTACTCAGGTTGCGGATGAAGGAGATGGCTTCCAGATAAGGAGGGTAGCTGCGAAAATATTGAATAAGCAGTCACAGACAACCAATAAGGGGTGATCCTCCAGCTTGAGGGTTGGGCATGGAGCTAACAATCCCTTACTTTAAATAATAAGCTTGTTATGGAATGTCACAAAGGGCCTCGGACCTCGACGGGTTACTTGGGTAAACGACCTAAGCTAAAAAATGGACATGAGGTTTGGTACATGTAATGTAAGAAGTTTGTTCTCTCATGACAGTGGCGAAAGGAATATCAAAATACACGTATGTTAGCTTTAGTGGGAGTACAGGAGGTCAGATGGGACACAGGTGGTACTGACCTAGCAGGGGAGTATACACTTTTTCTGTGTAAAGGGAAATGAGTATCATGAATTAGGCGCAGAGTTTTCATACATAAGAGAATTATATCAGCAGTTAACAGGGTAGAGTTTGTTAATGATAGGATATCGTACATGATACGAAGAAGTCGCTGGTGTGATGTCTTTGTTCTGAACCATCGTGCCCTAACAGAGGATAAAATTGATGATGTGAAGGATAACTTCTACAAGGAATTAAAACGTGTATTTGATAAATTCTGTAAATACAATATGAAAATTTTGTTAGGAGATTTCAATGCCAAATTAGGTTTGAATATGTGGAAGAATTAAGTCTCTTAAGTTTTTGAATGTACATAGTTTAAGTGCCGGTCTAGAAAACCGAAATTAACGGCCATGGGGATCCGTTGCGCTGACCACGTGACACCCTCTATCCGCTAAAGTTGGCACTAACTTCGCTGACAAGCGGCGGTCACTCGGTCAGTGTAGTTCGCTTGCAGACTACAGGCGACAGAGTTCTTTTTAATAGGTTCAGTGATGTTAGGCACATAGAAATACATACAGCTGGGCCGTTAGTACCTGATCCTAGTCCTTTTAGAGGTTGAAATTGCTATTGCAAAATTGAAAAGGTATAAATCGCCAGGTAGTGATCAAATTCCAGCAGAACTGATACAAGCATGAGGTGAAACATTAAGGTCTGAGATCCATAAACTCATTAATGTTATTTGGAATAAGGAAGAATTGCCTGATCAGTGGAAGTAGTCTATTGTTGTACCAGTTCACAAAAAGGGTGGTAAAACTGACTGTAGTAATTAGCGTGGGATATAACTGCTATCAATTTCATACAAAATATTATCAAATATCTTTCTCTCATTGTTAAGTTCTTATATAGATTAAATTATTTGAAAATATTAGTATGGGTTTCAAACATAACAGATCAGGTATTGATAGTAAAATCCATATAGGTAAACATGTGTCTGATACTTTTCCTATCCAGAATGCTCTTGAAACAAGGAGATGCTTTATTGCCACTGATTTTCAACTTTACTTGAGAATATTCCATTACAGTTGAGGAAGACTACATGGGACTGAAATTAATAGGGACATGTCATTTGCTGATCTATGCTGATGATGTGAATCTACTGGAAGATAACACAGATACCATAAAGAAAAACACAAGCGTTAATTGATGCTAGTAAGGAGATTGGTCTAGAACTAAACACAGAGAAAACTAATTGTATGTTGCTGTCTCATCACCACAATTCAGGACAAAATCGAGACATAAAGATAGCTAACAGATGCTTTGATAATCTGGCACAGTTCAGATATTTAGAACAGCAGTAACAAATCAAAATTTGATTCTGAAGGAAATTAAGAGGAGAGTGTATTTGGGAAATACTTGCTGCCGTTCAGTCCAGAAGCTTTTGTCTTCTCATCTGCCATCTAAAAGCAAAAGTTTGACTTAGTTCTAGAACTATAATTTTGCCTGTGGTTCTGTATGGATGTAAAATTTTGTCGCTGACATTAAGGTAGGAATATAGACTGGGGGTTTTTGAGAACAGGATGCTGAGGAGAATATTTGGACCAAAGAGAGATGAAGTGATGGAAGGTTGAAGAAAATAGCATAGTGAGGTACTTCATAACTTGTACTTTTTGCCAAGTGTAATTAGAATGATCAAGTCAAGGAGTATGAGATGGGCAGAGCATGTGGCACGAATGGGGTCGAAGAGGAATGCATATAGGATAATGGTGGGAAAGCCAGAGGAAAGAGACCACTAGGAGGACCAATATGTAGGTGGGTGGATAATATTAAAATGGATCTTGGAGAGAGAGGATGGATTTATATGGACTGGATTGATCTGGCTCAGGATAGAGACCAGTGGAGGGCTCTTTTGAATATGGTAATGAACTCTCAGGTTCCATGAAATGCTGGGAAGTTCTTGATTAGCAGCACAGCTGGTGGCTTCTCAAAATGGGCTCAACTTTGTGAATTTAGTTAGTTGCTTAGTTAATCTCGTATTTTTAAAGATTTTTTCATATATTAGCAGAACAGATAATGTTTGAAATAGTCAAAACTCTCACATTTAAGATGTTATACACACATTTTAACGACTGTTTATCAATATGTGGATGCAGATAAATCATATAGTTATCCAGTTCATCATTAATAACAGAAATACGGTCATCATTAACCACAGTTAAGCCTATTTTTTGCTTTAGCGCTTTCTTTCTCAGTTAAGTTCAATTTATTGTAATTGATCCACGCTCCTGTTACACTGTAGTGATTTCTCTTACTTGTTTGACCATGCGTTCTTTATAAAGAGGTTATAGATTTTTGTAAAACATTGCATTTGCAATCTAAAATGCATCATTTTAACAATTCTCACATCTTTGCTTGCAATGTACTGTAATGAGATTTCACTTCAGCATTGAAAGAAAATGGAAATTTAAATTATGTTAGTGAATATAAATGTTTGGAGCAATATTCTGTAACTGAATAATACTGTACTGGTTTGTCATTCATTATGAGTAGTGCAAATTCCTGAAATGTGTGGCATAAACTCCTTTAATGTCAGCTTCCTTTCAGTCCAGTCTTAACTGCATGTACATTGAGAATGTAATACGACAACGGAAACTTAAGCATATATTTATTAAATTTAGTTTTTACAGATTAATCATCTTAATATAATTTGAATGCTATACTAGCCCGTTCTCCTATGAGTGATTTTATGATATTCAGTAACAGAAAATACAAGTATGGTATTTTGCCTAGTTGTGCTGTCAGTATCGTATTTGTATTTTGCCTGAAAATAATTTATTTTCAAGCATTATATCGTGATCCCTTAACTTTGTATTTGTACATTCATACTCATCTGTTCTAAACAGTGCTGAAATATGTGGATTGTATTATACAGGGTTACTACAAAGGATTCATTCCATTTGAAAACACTGTATTTTCCAAAGTATTACACATACAAATATGATCGATACATGAAAAGAACCGCAAACTCACCAAGTTTGCATCGTGATGATCGCGATACACCAGTTGGCAGCATGAATGCAATGCCTCACAAAATGATGACGAAGCTGGAGAAGAGTTTCTGTGTGTTGGAATATGCGAGATATTCGTCTGTTATTGCAGTGCAGCATGCATTCAGAGCAGAGCACAGAAAAGAAGTACCATGTAATCAGAGCATTCTGCGGTGTTATCGGAAGTTTAAAGATACTGGTTGTCTGTGTAAATTGAAAAGCATGGGGCGACCAATATACTGTTTTAAAATGGAATGAATCATTTGCAGTAACCCTGTATAAAACTCTTATAACAAGGAACATCATCACTATTCTTAGAGTACGTATTCGATTTTGTATTTCACGTTCATATATAATTTAGAATGTTTGGCTTATGTTAAACATAAGCCATGTAAGTTACTGACTGTAACATTACAGGAAAGTCACCCACAGACGTATCAAGTGGAGACATGGTCAAAACCTCACCCATCATTGTGGGGGTAATGGAGAAATCGGTTCCAAAATATGATGTCAGGAAGGAAGATTTGTCAAGCACAGCGGTGGAACCTACAGTAACAACAGAATTAAATCTTGAAATTCAGAAAGCCTCAGATGAATGTTTAGCAAAGGAGAAAGAGGCCATTCAAGAGGCATCTTACATGAAAGGAACAGAAGAAATGACTAGAAACCCTGATACTGTTTCAATTGCCGATTTAAAAAAGAATATTAAGGAAGTTAGTGAATTCTTGTATTTGTCAGATATATCAAAAGTGACACGTGATGTGTTAAAAGAGACTACAAGGGATTCTGAACATGTGAATGTAAGAGATAGTACATGTAAAATGAAGGCTGATGAGGCTGAAAATAATGCTAACCTGATTAAAGGAAGAGATACTCATGATGAGGTCACAAAAACAGAATATGGAATTATGAAACAGGAGGATATGATTGTAGATGAAATAATCATGCCTGATGAAGGGAAGGACACTGTAAGAGACGACAAAATCAGTTTAATAGAAGACATTCATGATCAGACAGATCATGCAGACAGAGTGCAGGAAGATAAAAAGGTAGATATAAAAATTGAGAAAGGTGGCAAGTCAGACAGTGATATTGAAGTTCAAGAATCAAAAGATTCAGTCATTGGTAATTTGAAGGATATATCCCAAGAAAGGTTAGTACACAGAAAGGTGGAGGAATGTAAAACATTAATTTTGGATGAGAATCTAGAAAGTGAAATTTTAAAGGATGCAGAAACCATCGATAATTTAAAGGACACACTTCAAGAAAAGTCAGGAGAGAGGAAGGTTTTGGAGTTTAAAGTAGACATTTCAGGTGGAGAACTAGACTCAGAAGTTTTAAGAGATACCATGAAAACACGTAGAGAAGAGATCAGAAGAGATTTAGATGATTATATAGAGGAGGAAATTAAACCAGCTGTAACAGTTCAGACATCTCCCAAAATAAAAGAGATTCAGTCAGAGACCAAACCCATAGTCACAACTCCAACACTGTCCCGTCGAGGACTGGGGGGTTCACAGCGCTTGTCCCGGGACCAGCGTCCACCACCACTTGATGTTTCCCATCTGATGTTGAGTAGTGAAGAGGGGACAGATGAAGACTTTGATGCAGCAGGATACATTGTGACTGAACCTGGAGATGAGGGTATACCAAAACAACAATTCCAAGAAGATGGCATTTATCGAATAAATTCCTCTCCAGATATACTGGCAGAGTCTTCACTTCAAAATGATCCTACTAGACTGATACCCACTGTTCAGGTAACAGAGGATATCAAAGATACATTGCTCTCAGAGGTTTCTATTCAGGCAAACCATGGTGTACCAAGCAATGAAACTGAGCAAGAAGTGGCTCAGATACCAAAAATGCAGTTTGATGTTCCAGAAAAGGTTCAGACAATGAAAGCAAGTAGAGAGGCTCACATACAGCTAGAAACTCCGCCTCATGAAATGACTACGAAATCACCCCAACCATCCATTCCAATTGAACAAGTTATAGAGCAGCCTTTGATGACCTTTGACACTGTAACAGATTTGCAGATACCCTGTCTGGTGACCATAGAAGAATATGAGGATGAAGTACAGAAACATAGGCCAATGTTCCGCATAGAATCAGATGATTCCACTGAACAAGGAGTGGAGGATATTGAAGCACTTATTGAGAAAGCAAATCGTGAACTTGCATTGGAGATGGAGAGGGAAAGATTTAAGGTGTCAGAGGCTGATGAATCGCCTGAGGAGGAGGAGGAGGAGGAGGAGGGGGAAGGAAACATTAAAATGCATGTTCCAGAACAGGAACCTGAGGTGACTGGGGAGCATGCTGTTGGACCAAAAGAATCTGATTCCAAGCATCAAAGAAAACTACGCCGTGTGGAGCGGCGATTTGAACGAATGGCATCTGAAACATTAGAGAAAGAAGCTGCAGCAGAGGGCAGTAGAACACCTGAAGTTGAGCTACGTCGTGAGGCAGAGTTTGAGCAAATGGTATCGCAGCTGTCAACAGAGGAGGTTGCAGAATGTCAGCAAGAGTACTCACATCTGTGGGATGAGGGAGGTTTGACACCATCTGAAGACTGGGATTCACGTGATCCTGATACACCAAGTGGTGAGTTGGAAGAAGAATCCACCACTGCATCACCACCAGGTACTTCGGTGTGATGATTAACCCATGATCTTGGCTCTTTGAGAGTGAAAATATGTGAATATAGATCTTGCAGGAATTTCTGGGGATTTATAGACTTTATGTTATGTATTTATTAACATGAAACACGTGGTCATTTCCCAACAACTGTCGATACTTGTGTACACAATCATGTTTGACGATGCAAATTTTAATGTCAAAATTTTATTTACTTCTCTGTATGTTTACATACTCCATAATAATTAGTTTTCACAAGGCTAAATTTTTCTCCTTTCTTGTTCATTGGTATACCCCCCTGTTATCTTAGGATATTGACCTTGTAAACTTATGACAGTTTCATGGATTTCCAAACACTCATTGACTTACAAGGGGCATGTGGTAGTGTAGTTGTTTGTAGCATTATGCAGTAAGCCGGAAGGTCGCGGGTTCGAGTCCCAATGAGGTGGATTTTTTTTTCAATTTACCTAATCCTTCCAGCCCCGCTATGGCCCTGGGATCGACTCAGCCTCTAACAAATGAATATCAAGAATCTTCCTTGGGGTAAAGGGCGGCCAACACATAAGGCTGACAATCTTACCGCCATCTGTGGGCTGATTGTCTAGAAGATGTGGAAGCCTCAACCTCTCACAACCCTATAGGCCTCCACGTCCTATTACAGTGATAGCTATACCATTGACTTACGAGTACATAGAACTGAACGCCTAACTTAATAAAATAATTTAGGAAATTGGAAATAATTTTCAGTGTAGTTAAGGAAGCCTTTTGCGGTCTCTGAAGTTTAAATAAACATATTTTCGATTGATAATACCAATAAAATATAAATTAATTCTGATACATCTACAGGCCAGTTATTGTGTACATTAAGCCCTCATTTCCAGATTATTCTGTCATAATTGCAAATATATTTCTAGAACAATAAAATACTTTACGTCTCTTTAAAGAATATCTTTTATCACACAGTTATTTATTAGTTTTCTGGTTAGCTCTCGATACCACTACCAAATTTATATCGGTGAAAATCGTAATTAACAATAAGAAATCAAGCTACTGTTTCATACCATATCTAATGTATGTATAAGCAGTAAAAGACCATTGAATAAGGTTGTATCTCAAATTTATATCTGTTTAACAAGGGTATATAGAAGAGGAACGAAAATATTTTTTCCAAAATTTCTGATAAATTTTTATAGAAGAAATTATATCGTGCATGTGTTTTTTGAGAATATATAGGGAAGATAGATAATTTTCACAATTACTATTATATAATATACAAAGAGCCAAGAATATTGTTAATAACAAATGCAGTAGTTGTGGCTGAGATGGAGATAGAAGCTATATTGTAGCGCCATTCTGTGCTGTCTTGCTGTTATACACTGCTTTTCACACAGTAAGATTACTTGTTGCTCTTGCTCTTTTCTTCCCTCTTTCTCTCTTTCATTGCCTGAACATTATAATGGGGCATTGTACAGTTAAACTTCATTCAGATGGCAAAGTCCAATATTTTGTTCAGAAAAGAATGGATGCAAATTTTAACCAGACACAGCATCGAATGTAGGGCAATATAGAGGATCAGAAGAGACATGTTTATTATTCTGTGTCACAGTGGCTCCTGGCGAAGACAAGCCTCTTGGCTACTCCAGTAATTTGACAATTCCTGAGATTGTGATCGAGTGCTACGACACTCCTGACACCAACTTGTTCGATCCATTCAAGTACGACCTGTGGCTGGTTCATGACCAAACGGACCCTGACTCTTTCGTTTCAAGTGATGAGGCACTGGATGAAAGTTATGGGGAGGATAACAGAAGTGAGCTGTTAGACGAAGTCGATCTTGACCAGCAGCTACTCACTAACAATGGTTGTTCAAGTACTGATTCCTCTCCAGAGCTGGATGCTGACACACTTCCATATTTGACATATTTCTTAGATCAGGCAAAAGTAAAACCAAAGGCTCAAGTTAGCACTGCTGTTTGGTGCAATGATCAGAGCGTGTACTCAACTAGTCATAACACTGTGAAGACAGACCAGAGGGCAGCTGATTTCTTGATGGACGATGATGCTGGTGAGAACTGGGGGCTATGTAGGTTGCTGGATGATGCTAGTAGATCGCACCAGTGCACCAGACCATGCTTGTATATGTACTCGGGCCCTCACATTAAACGGGAACCTTGTAGCCTTGAGCAGAGTCCTCTGGGTGAGTTGTGCAGTTCCCCTTGCAGATTGTATGTACAAGATTTCTTCTAGAAACAAATATTTTTAATAACTTCTAGAAGTAGTCTTCAAACATGATGCTTGGTGTGACTGACTAACACAGTGAAAGGTACTAACAACAAACCCCATTTGCAGCATAGTTCTTTGTTCATACATTGTGTGTTGGAAATGGAAGTCTTCAAGGCTGTGTGATCTGCTGGAATGAGAGTACAATAGTGTCACTAGCATGTGGCATAATGTAGCATTGCAGGTATTTTGATATGGATAATTTAAAATTATGACAAGATTTAATTGTCCGGCTTCATCTGCCCTACTCAGCCAAGAAGAATTTTATATTCCTGTTATTCTGTTACTACCATTACATAAGCCCTGGCCACTTCTTTACATATGAACCTGTTTTTCCAGTATATGCATGTTGAAGATCATCGTAGCCTGGCGATTTTCAAATTCATGTGTTTGGCTATGCTCAAACAATTTGGGAAATTGCTGACATGGTCATACAGTACATTTTTAAATGCATAAATGATATACTGTATTCCAGAAGAAATAGTGCACATTTTTTCTGACTTCAGTGAATTGATGACACATAATTTTCTCATAAAGTTGTTGTGCTGTATTTTGTGGCTTTTCAAAGGTAGTGATTGTCAACATGTTTCTGAAATACGCCATCTTCAGCATAACTGAATAACATGATAAGACACAGGAGTACGACATTATTGACAATCATCTTGTATGATTGTATCTTACACTTACAGCAAAATACAAGTATTATGGGTATCAGGAGCATTCTCCAAAACAGAAAGCAACTAGTGTGATATTTCATTTTAATGTCTAAAATGATACCTGTGGTTTCATTTACAGAAACACTTCATTTTGGAGATATTCTGCTGCCTAATGTCTTAACCATTGAAGTGGCAGTACACTTTTGTAATAATAGCTAATAGGAGCTTCAGCGTCAAATATAACTCAGATTTCTCATCTGCCAGAAATGTGACACTTGCAAATTCAAAGTGCTTTAGCAGTTTAAAAATCATCACCTGCTGCTCCCAGGGTTAATGCAGGAGTAGTGACACAATCTTTCATTGTAACTTTTCTGACATTGGCTTATAGAGGAAAATATGCTATTTTTATGTGTTTGCTGATATGCTTTGTTGCTTTAATATGTGAAATTGCCTATTGTTATTATACTTACAGTTGTGTATGAAAAGCTGTCTTCTAATTTACAAAAGTAAAATTTCTTTTAAGCTACTCTACAATATTGGCTATGTTTTTGTAATTACTGAACTCATTTTATACTGCCAGATCAGTACACATTTTGTTTCATCCACTATTATCTGTCTCATTCATTTCTGAAAGAATTTTGCTTGAATAGCACAGTGTATGTAGTATTGTATTATTCAGAACTGAATATATTCAATTTACAGTTTCTATACAAGAACTATAATATCATATAAAAGACAGGGAGATATATGGTATGCTTTCATGTTACATCAGTGAAGGAAACATCCTCGGTAGAATGATAATAGACCCATGATAGATTTTTGGAACTCATTGCAGCATTTTTATTTATTCTGTTTATTTATATTACCCATTTCTTCTAATGTGTAAATAGTTTGTGTTTTAGTTATTTTGAATGGTACAGAAAAGTGTTTTATTTAATTTTAGAGTAAGTGAAGTTAAATTGAGATACACCAGAAAGGATTTCTTCTTCATAATTTTTGTTCCAATTTTCCCCATGTAAGATACATGTGGCTACATTTCTGCAGACTCATGTCAGGTGACTTATGGACTCCAATCATTCATTTACTTTGTTACAATACAATCATATAAAATAACATACTTCTAGACACTGTCAATTCAGTATTCAATATTTTCAAAACTATATTATACACAAAACTGATATATTATATATTTCAAAGACAGATGAGTTGCTTTGACTCTTTGTTTCTGTGAATGTATGTGTTCACAAGGGGGGAGAAAGAAGTGGCTGCCACAACAGAAGATACAGCAGTCGTTGTACTTGTACATATTAACACATGTATGAGTGAATGTTGTCCCACTAACAGACTTACCCTCTCTTCTAGAGAGCACCAGACCACTAACAACAGAGTTGACGGATCGCCAGGAATCCAGGGTGGAGGAGCCCCTCATCCTACACCCAACTCCAACCCCTCGCCTCATCCCAAAACCTGAATCCCGGGAAGACGTAACCTCTCATCTTCACACATCCCCACTGGAACCCGTAGGTCCTGGAATTTCATATGAAGTTTCCCCTGTATCCCACATACCAGTTGAGAGAGTCAGTGTAGGGATATCCCCTTCTGAAGTCATATCTACATTTGATGACTCCAGGACTGACACAGTAGAACCAGAAGGAGAGAAGATTGTTGAGGTAGATATCCAGAGTTATTCAGACAGGAAGAAATTCTGGGAGCAAATGACAACTGGCCAGGCAAAGACCACCCCTGAGGCAGTTGTTAAACAGCGCACTCTGTGTCAAGAGTCGGTTGCACCGCCAGTGCCTAAGCCAAGGTCCTCAATATCCACTCCTGCACCTTTGATATCAGTACTTCAAGAAAGTGGCATTGTTAAGTCAGAGACAGAAAGTGATACAGATACTACGACTTTTAGTGATTCTACGATCCGCATGCATCCTCCGCCAGCCTCAGTAAGCAAACAGTCAACGTTCACTGGCTCCTCTGACACTTCTGACCGTGAAGGTTCTGAAACGGAAGCCATGGACGTTGCTACGAGCCATATTACTGGTGTACCCACTACAGTTCCGTCTGTAGTTGCGGTGTTCAGCCAGCAGCAGTCTCGCACTGAAGAGGAGGAGGTAGGCAGTAGTGACTCAGAGGCAGAATATCTGGCCAAGTGGGTGGACAAACCTTTAGCATATGAGAATACAGCCTTTATAGGAGACGATGATGGTAGCAGCAAACCCTCTAGCCGTGTTGGGTCACTAGACAGCAGTGAGGAGATACCCACACTTTCAAGCAAGAGAGCACTATTTGAAAAGAATTTTGAACAAACATTGCCAGTAGCGGCTTCTAGGAAAGTTTATGAGAGATCTGTGTCTCTACCCACAGAAGACCTCATTCCATTTGATCACAATGGAAGCGTGCGTGCTAAGAAGCGGTACTTTGAGGCTCAGATCAAGAAAGAAATGGTTGTGGAACAGCTTATGACGCAACTAGAAGAAGAGGCTTCACCTGAACACAAAGCAATCTCTCAGACTTCCTCCAACCAGAAAACCGATCATGATGGGACGATAAGCCACCAGATACACAGTGATATATTCACCCAAGAATTAGGTGAATATATAGAACCGTTGGTGCCAGAGAGCAAAAATGTTCTAACGACAGTCAAACACACAGAAGAGGGAAGCCAAGAAGATGGTTCTGAGGATGATGAATATTGTGTTGGTACTATTTCAGAAATTATGAAAGTAGAGAACGAAACTGATGTCAAATCCAAAGTTATCACAGATGTTCCAAAGAAATGTGTTCAGAAGGCAGGTTTTGAAAAAGAAGACAAGAAAAGGAAAGTAGACATTGTTCAAGAAACAGGAATGTATTCTGTCACTGAAGCTTCAAGCATAAGTGGTCTGGCTAAAAAATTTGAGAAAGATATATCTTATCCAGGTCAAGAAGTAGCGGTACCAGATTTATGCGCAGTTGGTCCTTCTAAACTTAATGAATTTGATGCCCACATTTCTGGAGAGCCTGGAGTTACACAATGTACAGTACAAGGCATTGCTCAAGAGTTTGAGCAGCTGATAGCAAAACCAGAGTTTCAAGTAGGTAATGTTGAGGAAAGACAGGCAGCCAAAGACATAAGAACAATCCTTGAGAGTGAGGTTCAGGCTACAGCACCTCAGTCTTCAGATGCAACGACAGAGTCTCCTACAGAACATGGTAAAGCCATGACAGAAAAGTCTATGGAAATGATGTCTGAAGTATCAGACATCGAAGTGTCCTTAGAAACGCGAGACGAAGTGATCAGTGATCGGTTGTCAGAGGTGCTACACTATAAGACTGAAAATATAACCAAACCATCAGATTCACTTGAGGTACATGTTGACAAAAGTGAAATTGAGGAGACAGAGAAAGAACGCGACATTGAAGAAGATATCAAAGCAATGGAATCCAGTAGACTTCATGAAGAAGCGATGCCGTCCATTACTGTAACTCTGTCCGGAAAACAGCGAACAGATAGCTATAGCCAAGGCGAAAGCGAAGATACAGCTTCTGAATCAGATGTTACTCCTGAGGAACATCCATTATATCGACCAGAAGAACATATTCATGACACTGTGTGGGAGGTTCCGGTTCAAGAACAGGCAGAGTCCATAGATGAAGAAGTTGTCCTGGAAATACCCATTGATAAACAGGTTATTGTAGAAAAGGATGAAGACGAAGAAGTTGAAAGCGGCGAAACGCCTGTGAAAATAACAGAGGAAGAAGCCCGAATCATTGCAGAAGAAGTTATGGACAGCATCGAAGCTGAGGTGGCTAAACGAAGTGAGTTAATCGTTGATAATTCATCTCTACCCGCTCCACCGCCAGAAACGGCCGAATCGCAGGTAACGGAATACCTGCGACAGCTGGCCGACAAGGAGGAACTAGAACCACGAGAAGTTCAACTAATAGAGTCTGTGCTAGCCAGAAAACACCGAGAAGAAATGAAAAAGTTGACCCGCACGGACACAACAACATCCAGCATGGAGATTACGGATGAGGACTTGCGCAGTAGTGGTGTAGAAACGGATTTATCTCCGCTTGACAGCCAAGCCGGACGAATGCAAGAGCGTACCCTGTCAGAGGACACTCAACACAATGATGTAGGTGTTAAGCTGCAAGGTGAAGAAGTAGTCGAGAAAACTCTGGCTGAAGTACGGGAGTCTTTAGAAGCAGCTCAGGAACAGCTTATCGAGCAGCATAAGAAGAAGGAAGAGGTTGTTCAGAAGAAGGAGTCCCCTTCAGAATTCGAATTCAAAGTGCTGACATTTGAGAAAACGCTTGACAAAAGTATTGAGGAATCGCGTTATGAGGAAGTCAGTGCAACTACTGAGTGTACTGAGTCAAGAAAGGATGACAGAACAATCAGTCGTGTCACAGATATTGCTGTTGCTTTGTCGGAGAAAGATGAATTAGCTGAAGAATCCAGAGCTACAGAGAGAACGGACATAAATGTCGGCAAAGATGGCATACAGGAAATTATAGATTCTAAGAAGGATATGCTTGAAGAACGAGATATTAAACTGAAGAAATCAAAATTAGAAAACTTCGCTATTGTGACAGAGAAGGCAGGTCTTGTTAGTGAGCATCGTATATCTACTTGTTTTTCTGGCAAAGAGGAGCAGTCTTTAATGAGTAAGGTATCTGAAGCTGAAACAAAAGAAGGGGTTATACAGGTAACGAGTGTCTCTGAGGAGAAGGAAAGTAATGAAGCTGTGTGTGAGGAGAAACTTGTAGTTGAGAGCAAACTAGAAAACGAACATATTAGTTCAGTTTCCGAGAAAGGGCATGTTGCACGAGCACAGACTGAAACAGTTAAGTTGACAGAAGAGGAGATTAAAGTAGCAGGAAGCACAAAAGAAGATGAGTTGAAGAGTGAATGCAGGCGACAGACTGATTCTTATCTGGTAGGAGAGATTAAAGTTGAAAAGTTATCAACTTCTGAAGTTGTAGACCAAAAGGAAGATGCTACTATACAAGAGACATATATGACAGAGATACCAAAATGTGATCAAAAATCCGAAGGAGCAATGAAAACAGAACGAAAAGTTGAAGTTAAGAAGGGTTTGAAACTGGATTCCGGTACCATGGAAACAACCATGATCGATCAAGTAATGCCGACTTTGACTGAAGGCATAGAACTATCGAACGAGAATGTCCATGTGGTAGAAAAGGAGATTAAACGTACACCAAGCGAAGAGTCGCAGCGGTCTCTCTCTCAGGACGAGTCCACAAAGTCTCCTGTAGATTCATCTTCATCGTCAGGTCGCCGGGCCGAATCGGACACTGTAAGAGTTATTGAACGTCCAGATGGTAGTGAGACAACAGTAGTTGTCCTTCGGCATCCCCGCCAGTCTAAGCCAGATGCCGAATCGTCTAGTTCTGGAGAGCGAAGTGGAAGTGCAACATTGCGAGCTGACAGACGTTCTGGTGCTGACTTCGAAACTTGGTCAAGTTCAGGTGAGAGCCATTACCATTCCTTCGAACAGACCTCAGAAAGTGGTCGTACATCTAGTCGTCCTTGCTCCTCAGATGTTGAAGCTCTAATGGCAGGAGTTGGTACCGCTGGGTCATCTGAATACGAGTCTGCCTTGACATCTCAAGAACTTTCAGCTCGTTCTACATCTCACGAGTATCATACAGCTGTCAGCTCCTTAAGCTCTCGCGACTCAATGAAGTCTCTGGACTCTGAAAGTTCTGGTCACCTGGCTAGTATCGAAGTCTCCAGCGAGGCCTCGGAAACTCTCGTTCCTTCTGCGTTAGAACTGGAAAAGGATATGGAACTAACATCAGGAGCGTTGATCATGGACGACGAAGATACTGAACGTCGGGAATTGTCATCTCAGCCGTCAATAAAAGGAGTAGAAACCTATGACACAGCAGTTCCCATTCATGATATCTGTGGAGAATTATCGCCTCATCAGTACCAATCACACACCTATTCTGGTTCATATATATCTGAAGCTACCTGTTCATCCGATATGACTACTTCGGCCTTTGATCAGGGTGAAGCTTCTCAGGTAGATGAAGGACGACAGAGCCCGTTTGAAATAATAAGTGAATCGGAAGTACTTGAGTATCACGGTGAGGAGATTTGTGGTTCAGAGGATGAAGAAACTGATATTGCTGAGAGGAAAGAAATTCCTTCAACTCTGTCAACTGATGAATCGGGAGATGAGAGACCACACTGTATGAAACGATCTCATGAAATGATTTTCCAGCCAGAACCGAGACCTATTATAACGGATAGTCCTCTTTCTGAATCCGCCACAGAAGAGAAATTTGGCTCAAGTGTAGAGGAAGGTAGTATTCTCAGTGTTAGTCTGTCTAGTGCTTCAGATGCCACTGGTCTGATGACAGTGATAGAGCTTTCGAGGGCAGATTCTGAACGCATGGATGCTTCGGTTACTTCAGAACAACTAACGGTGTCGGGCACCTCGGAGCAGCTCAGTCTTGAGGAAGTAGACCCGACAACACTCGCTGGAACTCAGTTTGTTGATTCTGAAACTTGCACTTACCCCACGTCGACTTCAGGCCGTGAACTACATCTGTCTTCTGTAACAATCACCACTTCATCAGTAGACGAATATGGTGTTCAAAGCGTATGCACTCAAGTAACGTCTCAGTCTCACACACCTGTCCCGGAAAATGATGAAGATGACAGTCAGACAGAGACAACAGAAAGAGAGCATGAAGACGACTTTCCTCAGAGTAACGGACCTACCCAAGTCGATTACGTTCCTGAATATGATGATGATTATGACGAATCTCGGAAACGTCACATGGGACATCGCCGCAAGGAAAGCACAAGCAGTTTTGTACCTGCAGTGTTACCAATTATGACGAGTGCGGCACCAGCACAAGTAGCTAGACCCGTACCTGAATTGAGTCCGTCGAAATTTGATACTGTCGAAGGAGTAGAAGATATGGCTGAAAGTGATAAATATACGGAAACGGCACAACTCACACTGAAAGAAGTACGTAGCGATGAGAAGAAAGATGTTGACGAAGCCGAGAGATTAGAGGAAGAATCTTACCAGACTGAGGCAGACCAAGGATTCCATAGAGACCTGCGCGAAGGAAGAGTTTTATTGGAAGATGTTTCAGGAATTGAGGAAGAGCCCGAGGCCGAACTTGACACGAGCAGACCACAGTCTCAAGTCAGCAAGTCAGATTCTGAAGGATGCCGTCCTGTGTCCTCAGGCTTCTCTGATGATCGTCCTGACTCTGAACTGGCTGAATTGCTCAAACAGTGCTCAGATGGTGGCAAAGATCTTGAAGATCCAATCGAGAGGCCCCTTTCTCCTGAGCCTGCTGACGAATGTGAAATCAAAGACGATACACCAGAATTTTCCTCTGAAGCTCAAGCGAGCGTAACTGAGCTGGAAATGGAGTATTCTGGAGCATTTAGTCGTTCGGTAGAATATGCTTCTCATGTGAGTCCTATCCGCGAAGAGCGCACTGGGATGCAATATGATGATGCCTGCAGCGTGACTGAGCAGCCTTCTTCTGATCGCGAGGATGATATGGCTGAAGCAGAGGCCGCATTTCAGATGACTCCTCATGTACATCCCGCTGTGCCTCCTTCCTTACCAGCAACAATACCTGAAGACCCAGCCGCAGAGAAACATGAATTAGAGACTCGAGATAGGCCTCTGAAGGAGAGCAGGAAGCATCATGAAATAGTAACTTCTCCAGCTTCCGTACCAGACATTACAGTCACCCAACATATGACTCCATTGGTAGATCGCGGGTTTCACTACCCTGATTTGGAATTGGAAGAGGAAATAGCAGCGACAAAATCTGCGCCCCAAACACCAGCGTCTGTGTCGAGTAGAGCCTCTTCTGAGACTGAGACCGATCAAGGTCGAGAGTATGTTTTGGGGGAAGAAGAAAATGGTGATTTCATTGGAGAGGAACCAGAGCTTGAAGACATCAAAGAGGATAAGCATACTGAGTGGCGGTCTATGGATGAAGTCTCAGCTACTGAAGACAAAACCGTGTATGAATCAGAAGTAAAGGAAGGTGTTAAAGCAGAACCAACTTCACACACATCTGAATCCCCAGAGAGTGATTCCTTTGAGATGCTAGAAAAACCAGATCTTACAGATGAATATGTCGTGATAGAGGAAGTTGGGAAAGAAGCAGAAGAACATGACATGGAAGGGAAAAGCGTCCAAATCCAGAAGAGAACTCGGATTATGAAGAAAACGCAAGATCAGAGTGATGAGGAACTGATCTCACCTCCAGCACCTGCCACTCGTATGACAGAACTGAAATATTATCCTGAGCCCGGAGAAGACACGGGTCCATTTCCGTTTGATTCAGACAGCCCTCCAACTGCTGCCGTTGCTAAGAAATCTGTAGGCATCCGCACACATGAATTGGACTATGAAGGAGAAGGTGAATATGACAGAGATGTAGAGGCAGGAAAGAAATGGATTGAGATGCAGTTTCAAGGAGACGCTGCAACAGCTACTGCTGTTGCTGGGTATGGCTATGAAATGGAGTTTGAACGTGGCCCACTAGAGGACATTAAAGAAGAAGAAGTTAATGATTTTGACCAAAGCAGCAGTAAGGTGGGTAGCATGGGGAGCTACAAAGGATCAATAGGTAGCTATGGAAGTGTAAAAGAGTCTCTCAGTAGCACTCCAGAATATGATGTCTTGGCTGGACGGAAATTTTTTACTCGTTCCGGTGAGCATGATGATGTATCTATGAGTTCACTACAAGAATTTGAACAGTTAGAACATCAAATTGCTTTGGAGGCCGCGCGTAAACGGTCACATGGCTCTCAGGATTCTTTGAACGGAAACAACAAGCGGTACAGTCGCAGTGGTCAGGGTGATGATGTGTCGCTCTCATCCTTGAAAGAGTTTGAAGGCTTAGAAACAGCTTGCATTGAAGCTGTCAAAATTGAGAACCGAGCCAAAGAGGAAGAAGCACTTTTATCAGAAATTGAAGAAGGCCATGAGAGCCAAGTATCAGAGTCTGAAAGCTGTGAGACCGTGTCTGTAGGTGATGGACGAGGAGTTTTTGGAGGAGGCGGTGAGAGTGTTGATTCTGATGACTATGAGAAAAGAATGTTTGAAATCGATGAGATTATTCGGCAGGCTCAATCAAATGTCGAGCGGTTTATCGACCCTAAAGATGATGTAACAGAATCGGTGGGTCGTGGTGATTCTTTAGAAGAAGTGGCACGTGTTCCTGAGCTTGATCTTGACCAGCCATTATGTTTGTTCCCTGGTAAAATGACTGCTGGGTGGCGCGAGGCAGATGATGATGTAATGCGTACCAGTTCTGACTCACTGGAAATGAAAGACCAGTCAAGTGCTCTGCATGCCAGCACAGACTCCTTGGACCTCAAAACTGTTGCTGATGTGATGACTGCCAGTGCAGATTCCATCGAGTTACAGATGCAGTTGTCTAGTCGAGGTGACATCATGACTGACTCCATGGAAGTACCAGGTGACTTTGCTATAATGGCCGCTTCTACAGACTCCCTTGACATGGGTGGGGGTGCTGCTACAGCAGCAACAGCAATGACTGATTCCATTGAAGAAGAGGAGGAAATTTCAGTGTTAGGACAGGCAGAGGGTCAAGGTTCAGGCTCTGGAGGACATGATCAGAGCAGTTCCAGTGGACGTGAAGGTGACCTTAGCTCGTCTGGAAAGGATGACAATAGTGGAGAACATGGACGTATGCCACCACCCCGATCAGATATGATGCTTGGGAGCACAGATTCTTTAGAACCTTCAAGTTCCACGGCAACTCATGCCACATACCAGTATGAAACAGATTCTGTCATGTCATCTAGCTTTACTAGTGGAGGCTCTAACACTATGGTTTCCAGCACAGACACTTTGGATCCTTCAGGAACAGGGGCTGATGGGCTGGATGCTATTGATCTTGCAGCTGCTGCACGTTCTGCAGGAGTTTGGTTTGATGATGGGAATGGCAGTGGAGGAAAACCTTTTGTTACAGAAGTCATTGAACCATCAGAAGAAGAGGAATTCTCTCATACAATACGTCGTACTGTTGAACTACCACCGGAAGTTAGGAAAGTATCTTTTCAGGGGCCTGATGCAGAGAGGGCATTGAGAGAATATGTGGAACGCTTTGCCCCTGGTGAGGATGTTACTGAAACCCAAGAAGTTGACAGTGAGGGTAATGTTCATATCAAACGTGTTGTTCAGCGTCGCGTTGTGGTCCATTCAGAAGATCTGTCGGGTACAGAATTAATTGGACCTGAACTTGAAGAATATTTGAGACATGTGTCTAGTGGAGAATATGACCAGGCCTCAGGAGAGGATGTCCCTGAGTCTGACTATACACACCTTATGACTTCTATCACTGGTGGTGCAGAATCATTCTCCTCTCCTCCTGAGGTGGTGACTCATCACACCTATGTCACTCGTCACATGATCCATCCTACACCTGGGGCTGTAGTTACTTCCACCACCCAGCAAGGATTAACCACCACCACCACCCCCAACCTAACAGGTAGACATCCCCACTAACTGCCCTCTTATAATAACTGTAGAACAACCAAGATAATCTTTGTAAATTGCTCATTTCCAGTCTTAGGGTGCAACCAAAGTGAGATTTCTCATGAGGGATTGTCAGAAATTTGTTTTCCTTATCCTTAAGAGTTCTATAAGGGTCTGGAGATCCTGTTTATGCCCAATTTGTGATCAGAGCATAAAAGAGAATGGACAACTGTTGTAGATCATTAACCATAATAGTGTGCACATTAAATGGATACAGTATAGATTATCTTGGTTAAGAAACTGATGAATTTGGAAGTTCAGCATTTGTTCCACCAATGATCAGATTGCTGGACTTCATATAGCTGTAGGTTGCTTGTTTTGTATGCAAGGAGCAAATCATAACCTCAGTGCTGCATTGCACAATATATGATGTAGTCAGTTTATACAATCCAAGGGAAACCAGCAAAATAGTGTCACTGTTATTATGTATTTGTTCCATGTGTCCACAGCATTGTTGTTATATTAGTAATGTTGGCGCCCCTGTCGATTGCCCCTCCTACAGGTTCAGTTCCGCATGCGTTATTATCCCAGGAGGAACATCAAGAAAGTGTGTTTCACAGGCCTTCTTGAGTTGGAATGATGATGAAATATTTTGAACTAAACTATAAAACTTGTACATTTGAGTAATTTATGTGCATGTTTGTTATGTTTCTTTGGAACATTGTTTTTACCACTCATGAGATGTGGAAGTTTCAGTTTGTAACCCATTATGTTCATTTCAACAGCATGAGCAATGCATGACTTAATTTTTTATTGTTGTTAAATTTTTTTCAAGCTGAAGTTCAGAATACAAACTCTCTGGATGGCATCAGTGTAGGTGTCAAGCCCGAAAATTAAAGCATCTGTGTGCTTTTTATAGTAGGCTTGTCAAATATTATTTTATTTATGCAGTTTTATATTCACATAAATTGAAAGTTTTCAGTTCAAGCTAATTTTTTATAATTCTTGCAGAATAATAAGAACCTTATCTTAAATAAGCAATTTATTAGCATTTTTAGCTATTTGATGATTTGCTGGTTTTTAACATAGTCCCATCAACTCTTGTTCTTGTTTCTGTCACCACCCAGGTGATATGGTGCTTGGTGACTGGAAGCAGCATCAGTCAACGAGCAGAGAAGAGTCAGGCATGCAAAGAGGTTACTATTTATACCTTTTGTTTTTGTGTGTTTGAAATATTATGTGTCTGTTATTGCCCCAACATACATATGAATCACTTCTGAATTGCCCTCAAAGCTCCCATTATAGTGCTGGTACCAGTGTCGTATATTTAGAAGGTGTTTTATTTCCTGCCAGTAAAGGAATCACAGCAGGTCTTGAAGATAGCATCCATGTAATATTAACCCTTATAGTGATTAGATTGACAGTAATAATAATTATATAATACATGAGCCTGTAAGGTTGAGTCATTCACTCACATCCACTATCACATCTCAGAATGTATGTATCTTTACCTCTGTGTGCCCTATACACCTGCACTCACATCCACTATCACATCTCAGAATATATGTATCTTTACCTCTGTGTGCCCTATACACCTGCACTCACATCCACTATCACATCTCAGAATATATGTAATATCTTTACCTCTGTGTGCCCTGTACACCTTCATAGGGTTAGTAAAAAGTGGAATTGGTAAGGCTGCTTATTGTCTATTTGTTTTAATGTATAATAATATAATGTGTATGGAGCTTGACTGTAGGTGGAGTTTGGATTGGTAATTAGATTTATTGAACACTTATACACACAACTCATAACTACAAGTAACTGTAGCACTATTGCTAATTCACACTCTGCTATTCAATACAGCACACACTTAACTCTTCTTAGTCTGCTGTGTCTTCACCAGTTTTCTGGTAACGGCTTCCAGTGGTGAACATTATTCATGCTCTGGGTCCCCAAACTATCCCTGTACCTCAGTGTAACCATTTTTCTTTGGTTCTGCTAGCTCTAGTAGAGAAATCGAACTCCTCTCAGGGCGTGTTGACTGGCCACGACTTGGGTGATTAGTGGGGCTTTAGGCATAGGGAAGTCACCTCAACACCAATTAACTGTTTGAAATCTTTATTCAATCTGCACTATTTAAATGGAAACAACACCGTAGTGGCACACTTCACAGAGTTGTGGATGTAGGCTTCCTTACTGGTTTTCTGAGACCCACACATAATAGTCACCACAGGGGGTGTTTACGGGGATCAGAACACGTGTACCCCTGGTGAAGGTAAATTTCAGAGTCCTCCTTGCCAAGCACCCTCTGAATGGTAAATACTTGCCCTGGTTACCAAAATTCGGGCAAAGGACCTCCCACTTCAGATGATGATTGGCTGGACCGGGCAGACTGGGAGGTTGCTTATCATTCTCCTCCAATTAGAAAAGCGAATATCCACTAGTGTACAGTTTAGGGGCGAACTTTACCACCTGCTGCGTGGCTGTCAAACTGAGATTTTGGGGTAGCAGGAAACGACGCTGCTAAAATTATGACTTCCCCTGTCAAGTTCAGAATTTCTAAAGGACTTGGCCTTGTGTTACGCATTAACTTGACTGATTTATGGATGGGCAGCTGGCTTCAAGCTTGACCCAAGCCACTGGCTGCTTGTCTCAGGGGGAAAATTTCAAATTGTGAGGCGAAAGTGAGGAATTTCACAAAACCCTAACCATACACAAAACATCAATTGACCTTCCCATAAACTGGACAGTTACATCAGCTTCCAGCTTCTAACAGCAACAGCTCACAAGGACTGGACCACAGTAGTCCCCTAACTCACTCACTCATCAACCAACTCACTCCACTCCACTAATTCTCACTAATTGTCTTGCTTATAACATCTTGGTATGGACCACACAGAAAACACTGTTCCTCTGATGCTTTTTGGTTGTTACTTAGCGGACCATGCAGAAAACACCATTTCTCTGTTGTTGTTAGCAGGCCGCTACGTAGCAACGGCAACTGTATGGTTGTCTCTGTCACGATAGCCGCCTAGTAATGGGTCTACATACCACAATAATATTTCATATATCATTCTCACTTTAATGGGTATTTACTCCCTTGAAATATTCTGAATGTGCACATTACACATGCGGTAAGCATGCATATTTGTATAAAAATATTATTAACAGATTCACTGTGATGGTAGGGACCAGTGCTTACTGCAGACCTTTATCTCACAACATGGCACACACTAATATCTGCTGCAGACCTCTTACCTCATGCCTTGTCAGTCACTAGCATAAAGATATACTGCAAATTGTCCTCATGGTTTTTAATAATTAATCATTCATTCATGTGTAATCTTTCAAGACAATAGGTCCACAGTCTCTTCCAAAACAGTTCCTCCACTTGATACGATCTAGAGCTTTCTCCTTCAAATGAAAATATCCTCTTCTGTCCCCAAGGTCACCAGCATCTTCTTACGTCTTCTTCCACGTCTTCTGGTCACTTCTCTCCACCCCTCTATCTTTCCTTCAATAACTTCTTTTAGAAGGCAGTTACCGCCTTCCGTTTTCTTATTTAGTGTAGGATATTCCTCTGCTCACTGACTTTAAATAACACTTCTTCATTTCTCATATAATTGATCCAACTGATTTAATAATTATATGTTGCACATTTTACGGTAGCTATCTAGGTTTCGTTTTCAGGGAGTGTTCTGAAAACTCAGTCAAAATAAACTATAAAGTTGAACATAGATTCACAAAGTAGCTGTGATTTTGATATAAATGTTTATCCCTCCATCATGAAATCTTCCTTTATTTAACAAATGTGTTCAGAAAACACTATTCCTCTATGTCATCCACACATCTGAGGAGAAAGATGGATTACACCCATAAAATTCACCTATAAACATAACCTTACACACCATAAAATCTTAAGAACCTTCTTTTACTCTGACATACATTTACATTGTGATTCAGAAAACTGTGGTGCTTTGGTTATGGAAGCCCAGTCTGAGCTAAATTTAAAATTACTAGGGAGAATATCCCTGCATTTACTGTAACTTTATTTGCTGGAACTTCCTACTCCTTGCTCACCGCAGTTTAAAAATTTTGACTCTGAACCGAGGTAAGTATACAACTGATAGGTATGGACAAACTTTGGGCACATGCCTCAGCATGTCTCATCATGGGCACTGTACACTGCACAGATGAGAAGTAAGCCATGCTCTCACACAAGTTACAAAGTACATTGATATTGACAGAGTTTTCAAAAATATATTATACTGTGACCAACTCTTGTCATGTGAACAATAAATACCTGTATTAGAAAGAATACATGATATCTCTTTCTTATCAACAATTTTGGAACTGTGCAGTGAAATAGCTCTATCTCAGAAACTGTTCAGAATAGGACACATGTACATATACTTTTTTTTGCTTAGAATGAGCAATACTACTCATATGACCTCCCAGAATATTGACATTTCCTCCTTGGTCATCCTGTTTATATATATGAATATATAGGCCTACAATATGAACAGTACATGACTTTAATGTTGATGAGACAGGATCAAGTAGTAAAGTGAACATAGGCAGTGCTTTTGCCTGACATGCTATACCAAAACTCAGTTTTGAGCCTTTTTTAAGAGGTAAAAGGACCTTCTAAAGGGTTCTGATGATGGTGGATGACACACAGAATTACTGGGTTTTGGGGCTTTTTCCATTGTCCAGAATTCTAGATAATAGAGGACATGACGTTTCAGAAACTGGATCTGTTTCCGTCTTCAGGCGAGAAAGGAAGACACCTACTCAGTTGGCCCCTTAGAAAGAGCTAATCTCAATCACTGGATGATGTTGGACTGAATCTGACAGTACAGTGTAACCTTGATAATCCAAAGTAATTAAAGCACTGGTGTGTTCAGATTACTAGATTGCAAATAAAGAATTTGAATATTTTAGTCAAAATATTTTTTGAAAGATTTATAGGTACATGTAATATATAGACCAAAAATGTGTTAGATATTATACTTTCTTAATTTATTCATCAGTATTTAACCAGGGTACATCTTTCATCACTTAGTGGGGAAGATCCATTAATACACAATGTTTACTACAATGAAATTAGATAATAATATGAAATTTTCAATTTTTGGAGATGCATTTTTCTCTCTTTCTCGGTCTCTTAAGTCAGTTTGGATTACTGAGAGTTCAGATTACCAAGGTTCTGCCATCTTAATATTCATACAAAATAAATTTAACCTGATGGACTATGTTAAGATGAAAGAAAGGGCTTCGAAATCATAACAGATTCAGAAACCTTTCAATGTTTTAAGAAAAAATTCGCCAAACATAATTATTGTACATATTTCCTTTTATTCCCCATAAAGGCCTTCATCTACAGACCTTTCAAACTGGAATTCAATTTAAATTTTCACAGCCTACTTTATTTCCGTGTTCTTAGCAAACAGTTGTAAGTCTCTGCCTCTCATCATCATGGTACATACACGTACATTTTATGTTACCATATAATCATCTAGTTGTCACATCTGTCTTCTATTTCATTTGTCTTTTCCAATGTCATATATAGACATGAGTGAGGCATGCCAAAGGCTTTGGATTCAGAGAGACACAGAAAGAGAAAATGGGTGTATGATACAGAGTCTTGAGTGTTGTAACACCATATTCAGGGCTACAACACAGAAAATTACAGTGTAGATGGATTTCCATTGGTATAGGGTATTTTTATTCAAGCACAGCATTTGAGGAAGGTTTCTCAGTGTACTTCGCCTTCATTCCATCTTTGATTCCATTTGTAACAACTGAAAACCTAGTCCTATCTAACTTGTACTTAAATAAATTAAGGGTAATCTGTGGCAGTATGGTGTGAAATTTTAGCCATGTTGTCAAACTTTGATCTGAAAGAATGTAGAAATGTTGTAATATGTAAAATACGACCATTGGCATCAGTATATATTAGAATTCTGTTCTCGTGAAGGCATGAGTTTCCATTAGCATTCATTCATTCATTCATTCATTTTATTTTTCTTTGAGTAATCCATATCAGTGATCATCACCTAGGATATAGAAGATGTCCACATACAATAAAATAAGATACAATAGTGGCCGTACAACAAGCAGCCTTGTCAGTTGGTAATACAGTAATATAAAGACATCACACCCTATTCAGTAATACAATAATACATTAATATGATACATTATACGCATACAATTGCAAAATAATATACAAATTTAAAATAAGTATATAAGTCAATATAAAAATGTGACCCAAACAGCAACACAAATAAAATTTGATTTCATTTATCAGACCACTCGAAGTATTCAGTTATTGAGTAAAAAGGTTCCTGTAAAAAAGATTTCTTAGTAACCACTTTAAACTTATTAATATCCTATAGCAATTTTCTTATATCCCGCGACAAATGATTGAAAATTTTTATACCTGTAAAGTAGGGACCTTTCTTGCATTTGGACAAGTTAACCGAAGGCAAATACAAGTTAATGCTTTGTCTTCTATTTCTCATATATATCTCGCTGCTAATTACACATTGAGATGCTCTTTTTGCTACCAGCAACAGCAAGGAGTACAAGTATTGAGAATAAGAAGGTAAAATATTTAAGCGTATAAAAAGTCTCCGACAAGATATTTTGGGGCTCACATTAAAAATAACTGTTATAATTCTCTTCTGCGTTATAAAAACGTTTTTGCTATTAACAGCATTTCCCCAAAAGGGAAGACAGAGTGAACATATGCAAAAATATACCATCCTTAAATTCTCTATCGTTAAAAACAATTTTAGGGTTCTAATAGCAAAACAAGCAGAATTCAACTTAGTAATTACTCTGGTTATATGCCCTTGCCAGGATAATGTCGAATCAAGTGTCACTCCAAAGAAATCAATGCAATGTGTGCTATTTATTTGCTTGTCCATGAACTTTAATGTGGATTGGTCAGATTGACTCATTTTCACTTTAAAGTACGTAAAATGATTTTTTTTTTAGATTCAGTGTCAATGAGTTAGCCTGAAACCAATCTACTATCTTCCCCAAAACAGCCACAAGATTACTTTTAAGTTGCATAAGATCAGGAGAAACAAGTATTAAAGTAATGCCATCTGCAAACGAGGTAGGTTTCGAAATATTACTTATTACAACTGGCAAATCATTTATATACAGAAGAAAAAACAATGGGCCAAGAATTGATCCTTGAGGAACTCCTTGTTTCATTCGTTCCCAATTCGAGAACTAATTACAAATTGATTTCTCCTTTATTACAACTCTTTGATATCTGTTGTTCAAATAAGGGGCAATCAGTTTTAAAAATGTTCCTTGCACACCATAAAACTTTAACTTTGCCAACAACATCTCGTGATCCACACTATCAAACACTTTGGTCAGATCACAAAAGATTCCTCCAACCAATCTTTTACTATCCAACACTTGCAACATGTTACAAATCAAGTTAAAGGTAGCAGATTCTATAGAACAATACTTCCTAAATCCATACTGATCAGTATCCAAGATGTTGTTGTTAGATATATAAGTGTGCAATCTATTGTATATAACTTTTTCAAATATTTCTGAAAAGGAAGTAAGTAAAGAAATTGGCCTGTAATTTGAAATTTCTGTCCTTTCACCCTTTTTCACCCAGCATGTCGCTGGTTGTCATTTCTGACCTTGGAATCCATCAACTTGCTGGTAGACTGTAGTGCTTAATTACTTTAAACATACGTTTGCATGAACATCCATTTATCTATCATGATTTTATGCTGGTTTCATATTTTTTATACAAAGAAGTTGCTCAAACAATCATGCTATTGTATTATTTGTCATATTTTATAATTTCCTGTTTTCCTTTTGCAGGTTCCTCACTTCAGCAACACCATAACAATTTATTTCCAAATTCCAGTGAATTAAATCAGATTTAAGGAATACACTTGCAGTTTTTATATGACTTGCTGCTAAAATAAAAATGTTTCAGCAAAATCATATTAGCAGTTACAGAGTATGGGTTTTAGGAAGAAAGCTGTACCTCATTCTTGTAAAATTCTGAGGAGTCAGTAATGAATTATTGTGCAAATTTATATTGCTGGACATATTATTTTTTATGAATATGTCTATTGTGGTTACCAAATCAAATGATTAGGAAAAGAAACATGTTAACATTTTTGGAGCCATACTTTTTTTTTCACTAACCCTTCAGTTGTTTCTATATTGGAGGAGAAAAATACAAAAGATCTATACAGATCTTCTACATTTACTTTTTAATTCTTAATAATGTAAAACTCTTTTCTTCTATTATATTGTCCATAAACAAATGATTATTCTGTACTGTGAATTGTAATTTATCTCTCAAGTATAACATTGTGTATCAGCTTCTCTGAATCTGGTACAAACATTTTTATGAGGTTCAGAATTATAATTACATAGCTATATTGTATGTTCTCTAAAGACCTAAGCATGATTGCTGGTTCTGAAGGTTTGTGATAATGGTCACCCCGATTCAGGACTGTTAATGTTAATCTCTCCTTCAGTCTAAAGGAAGACCATTCCATGTTGTTTTCCAGAATTTAATTAGAATTAGGATGTCAACCTGTTCTCCATGCTGTCCAAAGTTCAAAAGTGATAAAGAATACTTTAAATAATCACTCTTTAGTAGTCTGAAATAACCCATTATAAAATGTCACAAATTCCCCCTTTTACTTTTTACCATTTTGCAGCAGCTGGAAGATTATCATGTCTGAAGTGTACTTTAGAAGTCTGTGGTACAGGCTTTTCTCTTATCCTCCTAGCCTGCATGAATTCAATCAAATAATGTTGGGACATAGTATGAAAATAGGCCTTAACCACTCCCCCAACACTCTCCTTCATGTAGTCTCAGTAAAGCAGAATGTTAAGCCTCAAAATTAAGGAGTTGTTATTTAGTAGCATTGTCATAGCCTAATGGTAAAGTAGTGTGATAATCACTTCATATGAAACGAAAATCCATACAAAGCCAGTGCAGTTAAATTGTAACAGAGTAGTAAATAAGACTGAGATTTGAGGTTCTTACAGCAGTGATTATGAAAAGTCCTATTTTCTGGGATGTGACATTGTGTAGTCTGGTATAATTTTTCCAGCACTTCAGAGAAATGTACTGTCTCCATCTTCAGGGTCAAGCAATAAGCTGGCAACTGAGCAGTGTGCAGTGAACTTGCTGGTTGGCATACTCTTTGGCCCTGAAAATGAAGACAGTATGTTCCTCCAAAACATCATTAAACTTCTACTAGATTATATGGCATCACAATCCAGACTATGCTACTTCTCAGAAGGATAAGAGTATCTCTCTGTCCATGCAACTGTTTCATCTTCACAGATTTTGATTAAGTAGATGATGGAGTGGGGTTCTTCCCTAAACTCTATTAGGCAAACTTAATATTGATATGCTTCCTATACAGCTCAAGAAGAACTTGTCACATTTGTCAAAAATAGTTCATCATGGAAAAAAATTACCATATGATACAAAATACAGAACCTCAGTAAGGCGTATAAATTGTATTTGGAACATTATGTTTTAGCAAATGTGTAACTAATTACAAAGGCAAATAGTTATGCCTATTTTCACTGTAATATTCCTGTTTACTAGCTTTGTCAGCAGTAAATTTATATCTATAATATTGAATGAATATAAAAGTCAATCGCCATTGCAAAATCACAAAGAAGGCATTTGGAAAATCTGTGTAAACCTTTCCAGTCTTGTTGAACACACCAGGAGGAATTGTGGGCATATGATTGCACTGAATAAACTTCTAAGTTTGCTGTCCACAAAATCTGAGACAATGATGACAGCATAAGAGGCAAGGTGCATGTGAGCCTTTATAGTTGCTTGCTTGCTTTGCTTGCACCTAACCTAACCCAGCGCTTGATGTTTTGTTGGCTCACCTGCATTGTAGCTATTCGTGGTGTCCAGTCACAACCACCATGTCACCACCCGCCACTGCACGACATTAGTGTTGAGGAGGATGACACAGAAGTGGACTATCGTGAACATGACTGGCGCTTCATCCCAGATCCTACACCTGAGTTATCTGGTTAGTCAGTCCTTCATGGTACTAATTATGGCCAAAATGAGAAAAGATTCAATTGTTTGTTAAGTTAGTTCCCTAGCTGTTCAATTATCAGGACAATAGAATGATTTAATATTAGGAGCAGCCACATTCAGAAGTAGTGTTGTAAAATGTGATTTCAGTTTCTCTTGAAAATATGTACCATGTTAATGTTTTTAAACAAACATAAATTCATTTTATTTCAAATTCATATCTGCAAAATTACACATGCCCAGCTGCAGTAGTTCATGTTTATTTCATTAGTTTCTTGGTTTCATTAATTTTTCATCATTAGCATTGTAGATTATATACTCATTGATTTACAAGCACGACAAACAAGGAAACAAGCAGACCAAAATAAAACCAAATCCCAAAATAAAAAAAAATAAATGTAAAACATTCTTGCACTAGAGCAGTTATCAGTAACAATAACCAGAATAATTAACGATTTGATTATTATAGTCAAGAATTATTGTTAGCTGGCAGATTTATTACAGTCATTTACAGCATCTGTAATTATGCACTCGTATTACATCAAATATCAAGTGACTGAGTTCTGAATTACAAAGGCAGTTGCATGTAAGGCTGAAGAAATTGTAAGAAATCATAACCAGACAGGGTAACCATTCTTCCTTCACTAGTTACTGATACAAAATTTGTTATATTTTTTGTACCAACTTAGTATTTTATGTTTTAATGAAAATAAATTAACTCTAAAATATTTATTTTAAGGAGCTCTGTTGCTATATATATATATATAGTCCAGGATGATGTACTGAATGATGCTTCGACATCTGAGATTCAGACAGTCAGTACATTGGAGTTGTTAAAATTGTAGATTTAAAAAAAGGTACCTGGCATTACCTTTACACTAAATTTAGTGAAAATTGACTGAACTTTTCTGTACATATTAAGAAGGAAATGTAACGACAGTGTTATTCATTCACTCAGTAGTGTTGTATCTTATTGAACCTTAATGGAGTAACAGGGCTTCCAGAGTTGTTCCCTATGAACGTATTTTTGTTCCTTCAGAAGAGTGTTTCTCGCTCAGTGATGTTAATTAAATAGTTTGATCCAGGGTCATTTTACTGATTTTTATTAGTGGCAGTTGTGATGTATGTCAGTTTTCAAGCTTTGACAGAATTCTTTTTTAAACTTTCACTCTCTGGCAAAGTGTGCTGTCCACTAATAACCTGGGGTCACATTTGGCCTCACTGAACAGAGATAATAAAACCTGAAAGAACTGTATTTTAATTATTGATCTTTATGAGCCTTGATAAGAACAAAATTTTTTCTTAATAAACTAATATGAAAAAAAAATCCAAATGATGTTAGAAACTTCGGTCTGTTTTTGTAAAACTCTCTTGAATGATAGGGATTAATTGTGGTTTACACGGGCTGCATTGGTTGAATTTCATCGGTTCAATTAAATTAAATTCAGTACATAAGTGTTTAAATACAACAGATGTCTTGAAAATTAAATTATGAACTGTATTTGTACAGGTGTTTTCTTGAATATATAATGAAGAACTAGTGTAGCTGTAGATGCTTAGTTCCAAAATAAAAGTTATAATTCTTTACAATTTGACATATAATTCAGGGGTATGTGACCATCCTATTCTTGTATATCAAGCATCTTTGCCTTATATTGCTTATTTCTGAAATATGAATGAAGTATATGGTTCAAGCAAGATGGAGGCAGAATACAGTCCACAAAGGAAGGTGCCCATAAATTCCTGAAATTAAAAATGCAGCTTAAATGAAAACTACTGCTCAAAAATTCAAATACCCACACCAAGTAACTCGTCCATCTTTGACCCCCAACATTTTATTTTTAAATGTACCACGTTTTCATATTGCATTGGACATTGTACATAGGTTTCATCCAAATTGTGAACATATTCAAGAGGTATCCAGTTAAATTAAAGGTTATATAAAGTGAATACAAATTCCCATTGCCAAACGAAAGGGATACATAAGCCAGTTGAATTGTCTTAATTTTATTAATGGAAGTATTTACATCAGGTAAACTTATTCTTCCTTTGGAGCTATTTCCATCAGTATATTTAATTCTGCATTTCTGTAGAGACTCATCCTTGAAGTACCTCCCTCTCATTTATTCTCATGGTAGGAACCTGTGAAACTCTTATTTAATAATTTGAGAAGTTACAAATACACTCAACTCTCGATTATCTGGGATAATGGTGGGGATGGAAATCACGATTAATCGAAAACCCGGTTAAGACAAATTTTATTAAAAGTAGTACTGTAATACTGTACCTTCATAATACTATAGGCCTACCTGTATTTAAATTTATTCAACCTCATTTTTATGTCATCTCATGGCCTACTTAATACTTTTTTTACATTACACTGAAGTATGAATTAGTTATTTCAATCACAGTCTTCAACAACATCCAACACTTTTTATGAATATTCACACTTAACACTTAAAAAAATTTAATATTGTCCTTTACTTTTTCACGGCATTTTCCTTTTTCTGTTGAATACTTAACAAAATACGCTTCCTTTTACACCCTGACATTTTGCTAAGGCACTTGAAGATCGATACAAAGAAATTAACTGGGGCGATATATCTGTCCTTGAAACTTTCCACAAATCCTTGCATTCTTTCACCCCTACCCTAGAACATTGTGTTAGCATAGCGGGACCAAAGAATGCAGAGCTCGATTCACACTAGTGCGAAAATCGTGTTACAACTCACCATGTGAAACAAAAGTGAATGAATATTAAACAACATATAAGCCTCAAAAAACCTCAGTAGCCCCGGTTAAGCTGCAAACTGGTTAATCCACCCCCGGATAATCGAGAATTGACTGTATTGGATTAATAAATGTAATGTAATGTGTTCAGCTTTTGTTATGATAATGATGAATCTGTAGTATCCTAACTACACAGTTTATAGAACAGCTGAATAACTTACTTGCTGCTCAGCAAAGACTCATCATTTTGGTTATTGCACCCTCTTTGCTTCATAGATTACTCTACAGCAGAAGAAAAATATATTGTAGTATCATCTTCCTTAGCTCTGTAGCCTAATTTCAACTAGGATATCTACCACTGTAGAAAGTTTTTCTAAGTCATCATTGAGACAGATTTTGGCTCTTTGGATAGAGGATAATTCAGTGAAAAGACTTTTCTATCACAGGGCAACATAAAACATGGGAATAGTACTTAAATCTTCAATCTCTGTATGTAAGTGATCTAAAACAATGCATGCCATAGACTGCATGTCTTTCTGGATTTAGTTTTACTGTCATAGTGTGGTTAAATATCTTATTGGGTCCCTTGCTGAATTCTGTCTGCAATTTCATTCAGAAAAGTGCATGATAGACAAATGACTTGTGCAAGGAGAAGTAAAAGCAGTTCCTTTTTCCACTTAGAGTTAGAATATTGGGGGGGAAAAAAAATAGGCAGTGTGGAATAAATATTACATGAACTATGGCATACTAATATAATCTGATCTCTGTAAATTTCCATGTAGTTTTGTTCTTATTTCTAGCTAGATGTGGCTGATTCCATGCTGTGTCCACCTTACATTCAAACCAAACATCATATACATTTTAAAACCTCTCATATTTCAAATAGAGAATTTTAAGTTGAATAAGAGACTTCAGTGGCAGCCCTTGAGTTTAGTGGTGGTGAACTTTCTGATTCTGTACTCTAATACGGTATCACCAAGACATCCGTCAATCTCTGAATACAGGGTACAGTAGCTAGGTCTGCTTGCTGCAGTACCACAGGAAGGATGCAACCATTTATGCTTTGTAACTACACAGAGTCTTGAAAGGACATAGAAATTTTAAGAATATATCAGATTCAAGTGAAAATCAAGTGTTATCAGATTCAAGTGAAAATCAAATGTTCTTTTTTTATCCCACTGCTTATCTGAATATCTTTCATATAATATGTGGAATTTTAGTAGTTGCTAATAGCTTTAATGATCTGAATCTTTTTAAATTGAATTCTGCTGAGACTTGAATTCTGGATATTTGAGAAGCTTATTATAAAATGCTGTTGATTTCCAAAAAGCAATATGACTTCCATATTGTAATGCGTATAGCTAGGCAATGGCTTGATAGACACATTTCCTAGGCAATACAGTCAACTATAGAACCTCAGTTGCTTGGTATCAAACCTTTCAATAATCACGTTGTGGCAAAGGCGTATCCATGATAACAACTTCTGACAGTACTGAAACCCTTGAAGGCAGTGAGCTCTGCTCGATTCTCCCAAAGTTATGAGGGGAGGTAAGAACAGACCAGAATACATACACAGGCAGTACACAGAGAGCAGGACAGAGCAGAGAGAGCAGCTTGCAGAGAACTCAGTAGGCAGACACTGAAGACTTTATTTTATGTTGTGTAGTTACAGCAACCTTTAGACTGCTATAATTGTTCATAGTTATGAAGTGTCATAGTTACAGTAAGATTGAAAGTGGTACAATTAATTATAGTTCCGACTGGTGAATATCCAATAAATCGACTCACCAATCCAAACCCCCATCTAAAGCCCCTAATACACGTGACAATATCATAACATTGTCTGTATGCATAAGCATCATGTCACAAAGGCATATGGGGACATGGAGATACATTGTGACGCAATTTCATCTTCAGCAGTAAGTGGCTGATACCATGCTTCAGCCTTCTTTATCCCCAGATCTGGCATAAGAGACTTGTTTAAGATACTGGACAGGACAGTTTTTAAAAAATTTACAGTTTGAACATGAAAGTTCAAGAATTAATCAATTTTGGCTCTGCAAATAGCTTCAGCTTTTCAGTGAATGATATCCTTCTGGAATGCTTCCCCAAGTTCAGTGACAATAAGGATTATGTGCAAAATAAGAATATGCAGTTCATTTTCATTAATAACATTCTCTCATGTAAGATCTTTTCACTAGTATACCATCTATGAAAATATAACATACTTATATTGACAATTTCTTTAAGCTCTGACAAAATTCATTTAGATGACATGAGAAACAGTGTCAATTTTACCCTCATAAACAAAGCATGTATTGAAAGTTATATAGTGCCCTTTTCTACCTTCCCAAATATTGAACTCCTAATCTTGGAACTGTGGAAGAACCGTGTCAACAGACTTTTTTATATCATTAGAACTGAGCTAACTATCTGCAAGAGAGATATATGTCACTCTGTCCCTCATTTTGTCTTGTATTAATAAAGATTTCGGTATTCTGATTTGTTCACAGCTGAAGAGGTTGAAGAGGTAGCAGGAGCTGAGGATGCCAAAGAGACTGTTGGCCAGACAACTCGGACAGAGACCAGGTATATTTGAATCAATTTTGCATCAGCCAGTTGCATAGTCTGATAAATGCTGTCTGATCTTATGTTGAAACTTACTGCCATTTTGGGAGTCATGTTGTAGTCCCATGTCATGCTGGCTGTGATAATTTAAAATTGAAATGAAAGAAATGTAAATCATATTGATGTGTGTCATACATTCATATAAATTGATTTTATTTGGGTTCTCAATCCAACTTGAAGGAGTAACATGGCACATCAGTATAGATTGAGTTATCAATTTTGAATGAGCATTTATCACCGACCCACTCAGTGAGACTTCAAGCCCCACTGCGGTTCACCTGCACCTCATCTCTGGACACCTCCACTGGAGTTACTGCCCTCCTCCTCCTTCTCGTGGATGTCGAGAAGTTAGGTGGGAAGGGAGGAGAAATGTGGTTGTTGGTGCTGGTAGGTGGGAGTTCGTTCATGTACCACCATTAGGTGTCCCTAAAGTAGGGAAAAACGGGAGTATCTGGGTTCTGCTCTGTAATGTGTAGAAATGAGTTCTTATCCCGGGGTCTTACGAGTCTGGCTCGGGCAGGGCAGGAAGATCCTTACGCTACAGTCACATACACCACTTCAGACTTTCGCACTTAGTAATTATTTAATTCACTCCAGCTCACTGAATACAACAGAATTATTAGTAACACTTCTTTGGAATTTTAACTTATAATACTTTTACTGAAGGGACGTAGTTATATTTTGTGTCTGACTTGGCCGAAAGTTGGATGAAGACTCCTTGAGGTGGAATGCACTCTCTCTGAATCCTGAGGTCCATGAACCACAGACTCCAAGAGAAATCCACTCCTCCAACCTTTTCCATTGGTTAAGTTTTCAAACTAGGAGGTTCCCTAAATTTGTGAATTTCCAGTCATGTTGCTTTGCTATGTGATTCTGGCAGTTGCTGACCTGACGCTAAGGTTGTCAGCGACTTGATGCATTACGATCAGGGGATGAGGCTCCGGCCCTCCCACTTCTAAGTTATAGCTGTTCCAAGCTGTCAGCTCTCAAATTCTCAAAGACTTTCCGACTTTGCTGAAACTGCCAGAATTCCAGGAAAAGTACCAGATGTTACTTCCTGTCCACATAGCAAACTTGAACTATGTCACTTCTGCGTGTAAGAGTTGGCTGTCTGCCGGATCTCTTTGTATTTACGTGATATTAACACTTGGCGGACCGTGCACCCTTCAAAGGGTTTTTCGCTTTTAAACATGGTGGACCGTTTGCGTGTTAACAGGTTTTTAAAACACGATAAGTTGCAACACACTATACATCTCTCTGGCTCCACCTAGCTAGCACATAGCTGCTTGCAGCTGCGTTATAAGGCTCTGGAATGTCTGCTGACCAATCAGTTACTAGACCTCGCTGTAACTCTATGCCCCTGCAAAGGAAAATAAATGCCTTTATTTCTTCAAGCTTTACGTAGCAAGCTGTCAGTCAGTAGTTCAGTATGGATCAGAGACCAAAGCGGTTGACACCTAAGTGATTTCTTGGAGAACAAGAAATATCTGACTTCTTCTCTGATGAGCTATCTGACGTCCCTTGTGAGTCTGCTAGTGATAGCGACTCACAATCTGATAGTGTGGCAAGGGCAAACAAAAAATTGTGACCACAGACAGTGAAAGTGAAAGTGACTGTAGCTCCAACGAATGTGCGGGTAGCAACATTGCGGGGACAGCCACATGGGGAAAAGTAGACAAAACGCCTGCTTTGGGACAGTTTACTGGAAATCCAGGGGTGAAGCAAATTCCATCGGACCCAACGCAAGTGTCTGAAGTAGCGGAACTGTTTTTTGGAGACAGTTTCTTTGACATGATATGTCAGGAAACTAACAGATACCATCTCCAACACCGTGAACATTATTAAGGCGTTGAAGTGGGTGGATGTCACTTTTGCAGAAATGAGAAAATTTTTTGCAATTATCTTTCTAATGGGCCATACAAGGAGGGATAATCTGAAAGAGTACTGTCAAGAGATAGATTTTTAGAAATTCCAATTTTCGGCAAACTAATGAGCCGTAAGAGATTTGAGCAAATTTGGTGGTGTTTGCATTTCAATGATAATGAACTGCAACCACAATCAACAAGCAGGCTTTTCAAAATTCAGCCCTTATTGAACTTTTTCGTTCAGAAATTTCAGACAGTTTATAAGCCAAACCAACAACTGTCTTTGAACGAATCTGTGATTCCTTGGAGGGGAAGGCTTCGTATGCGAACATATTATCCTGGGAAACTTACAAAGTATGGCCTACTTGTTCATGTAGTTACTGAAAGCACTTCAGGCTATATTGGAAATTTAGAAATTTATTCTGGTGAAGGAAAGCAATTACAAGAAACTATTCTTTCCGTTTTGGAACCCTATCTTGATCAAAATTACCATGTCTATCAAGACAATTATTATAACAATGTGGCAACTGCAGAACACCTATTTTCGAGAAAAGTACGTGTTTGTGGAACAATTAGGGTGAACAGAGGCCTTCCTCCAGATCTGAAAGAGGAATGTAAATCCCTGAAACGTGGTGAAACCACATTCAGGAGGAAGGGGGATATTTTTCTTCAGTCCTGGAGGGATACTCGTGTTGTGAATATGATTTCCACAATTCACAATTTGAGCATGGTTGATGTTCAAAGGAGACATGGACAGGTAAAGAAGCCTGTTTGTATTTCCGAGTATAATATGTTCATGAAGGGAGTTGATAGAGCCGATCAGTACTTGGCCTATTATTGTCTTCCTCGGAAAACAATAAAGTGGACAAAGAAAGTTGCCTTGTGGCTTATAAATTGTGCCATTTTCAATTCATTTTTGGTTTTCAAAAATCTAAACCCTCATTCAAAATTGAAATACAAGGCATTTCTGCTGAATGTGGCAAAAGCCTGGGCTACAGACCACACGGTGGTGGCACAACCAGCGGCAGACAGTCTTAGTACAACCGGGGCTGTCTACTCCCACCCCACGCAGGCCTCATTTTGACCCCCCTTGGGCGACTCTCGGGTGATACGCGGAAACATAACCTCGCGAAAATTGTGAAGAGTGAACATTTCTAGGGGAAGCAGCCTTCTAGGCAATGCCATGTTTGCACAATTCACAAGAAAATGAGTAGGACTGCCTACATTTGCAAGTTTTGTGTAATGCCACTTCACAGAGGGAAGTGTTTCGAGAAATATCACACCCTCAAGCACTTCTAGAAGCATTGGTAAGTGTTCTCAAAAATTTTAGTCCATAAAATTAATTAGGAGATTTTATATTAATTTTTAAAGTGAACAGTGCACAAGTTAGGGTAGTAGGTATAAAAATGCCGGTCCGCAGGGTGATTTAAATATTTAAATTGCCGGTCCGCAAAGTATTAACTTAATATAGATTTAATTAATACAAAATAGTCCACCAAATTATGATGAACAGTTACACATTAAGTAAATTGGAATTCGATCTGTCTTGGATGTTTTCTGCGAATTGTATCCCGAAGCTTCAGCAGAACTTCACGGAACTCGTACAATGCAAAATTCACATTTTCACCACACTTCTGAAAATGGGCTAACAGTGCTCCACGAGAATCCCAAAACATGGTAAGCATAACCTTCCCAGTTGATGGCGTAACCTTAAACGTTTTGGTTGAAGGTAAACTGGGATGTCTCTATTGCATTGATGCATCCATGAATCACCCCCAGTAACAATCCTGTTAAGCATATTGTCTCCTTTATCTGCGTACAGTAAGAGATGCTTCAATCAAGGGCCCATTCATTTCATTTTTTCCCTGGGCACCCACTGTGCGCACACATCCCAATACTTCAAACCATCATGCATTATGCTGTATGCTGAACCATGGGAATACCCTAGTGCAGTTGCTACACTGTCTATCGTTATCCTCATGTCAGCTTGAATCAACTCTCCCACCTGCTTTGTAGTTGCTTCTGTCACAATCTCGAACAGGGCGACCTGGTCAGGCATCATCTCCTGCTTTCAAAGATCCTTGAGAGAATTTCTCAACCCAGTTGTGAACCACTTTACATGACAAACACTTCCCCACTTTACATGACAAACACTTCCAACTCTAAACAGGAAACATTTCTTTAAGAATATCATGATTTGTTTATTCCGTCTTGCAGTGCATACACTTATCTNCACAACAGAATGTTGCTCTTCAGTAGCATACTCCTCAAGCATGGTCACAATTTTGACTATTGAAACTAGCCTCTGAACATGTGTATGTGCTTCTACTACCTAGACTCTCATGAAGCTGGACTGTACTGCTACCTAGTGATACACATAGAGAAACTATTATGTCCATTACAGCTGTTTTACTTCCATTTATGACCTATTTACTGACTCTCCCTAGTATATCTAATTTCACCGTTAGTATAGGATATAAAAGATGATGCTTTGTCTATAAAAACAAGAGTTGATTTAATAAATAAATTGATCTGAAAGAAGCAAATCTTTAGTCTGAATCATACATATTTACAATTTATATTTTATGTATGAACTTTAAACAAAATCACCTAGTTTCATTTTTTAATAGGTGCACAACATTGTTCCTATTGAGTTGCAATATGATCTAGATACAGACAACTTTGTAGAGAAATATTCTGTTCATAATTTGGGGATCTGTTTTATTCATAATGATCTTGATGCTTCTCTGGGTTTAAATTTAGCTGTTTCTAGAGTTGTTTTTCTCTCTTTCCCTCCAACAGACTTGATAACACTTTCTTCCAGCAGTGATAGATGTACCTCATATTGATAAATGTGAAAACTTGAACATGTGACAGAACTAAGTCACCAAAATTAATATGTATTTTTGTCCAAATTTTGTTAGAAAATAAAGGGTATTTCAGTGATTTATAGTCTAATGGTAACAAACCCTAGTAGGAAAAAATAATATTAGGTACCCCATCACAATAAAGCTCCTACATATATTGCTTTCAGAATCTACACCTCACACATTCTCTACGACAATTGATAAAATAACAGCGCAAAAGCTGGATCACTCTTGAAAATTTTAGCTTTTACATGTAATGGATCCAAGCCTTTGGGTATAAGGATATGGAAGGAAGAAGGAATAGGCTATTTTAACTTTCTGTCATAGCATTATTTTGAGAGACAAAAATCTGTCCTTGGTAGTTTCAGACTTGGTATCTTCTGGATCCAAACAGAGGAACTGTTTCTGAGATGATGTCCTCAGCCAAAACACTGAAAATTAACTAAGCTACTGTTATCGTCTTGGTTCACTTAATGATTATGAAAGGATAATAGGGAAGAAATTGGCATATTTAAGATGAGCCAGACATTTACCAGTATAAACTGAAGGAAACCACAAAAGCCATAATTTGCCTGTTGCAGACTTGTTGATGGCAAAACAGTGACTACAACCACAACAACCACTACCACTACCACCAAGACACCAAAGGAACTGGAAGATATGCAAGAGCACATCAAGAAGTCCTCTGACAAGGATAAATCAGGAAAGCCAAAATAATCGTCACACCCTCTGGAGTATGCTAGATCTGTTCCTGTAGCCAGCATAAGTACAAAGTATAGTATGTCATCCATTTGAAACAATGTCTCTGAGGTCTGACACAGTTTGAAGTTAAAATTACAAATGTACAAAAGAGTGCTAAGACATAATACTGTCTGGGAATTGAAATTAATGCTGTCAGGGATAAATACTTCCTTGAAACTTTTAAAACTACCAGTGAAATTGTAACTGTATTGTTCAGACATCATTAAATGCTTCACCTGTTTTGTACAAAACTGGCATAATATTCTCTTGAATCTCCAAAGGCACACATTACTCCCTGACATCTGTTTCTAAAGAAGGTTTATAAGTCCTTAGTAATGTTGAGCAGCTCTACAAAATTTGTAGGTTATATAGAACATAATGTTATTATGGTATGATCATATACTGAGACATTACTCCAACCTCAGGACTTACGTATTTAATGCAGTGAATTATTATCAAAATACAAAACAGAAACTCAACCTTTGCCTCACCAGTTTATAATACTCCACATCATTGCATTTCTCTGTCTTGTGAGATTACAAGCATCGTTATAGTTATTTTATATTTGTCCACATTTATTAAGCTGCAAGAAAGATTTCCAAAGATAAAGTGATAATTGAGAAATTACAGAAGATCACTTACGTTTAGCAACGAGAATACCCAATGCCTCAAGATACAGTGTTCTGAATCAAATCTGTGCACATGTTCTTATTATTTAAGCCAAAGTTTGTCTGATCCCATTGAGTTGTGTGGAATCAGTGCTTGTGTCTCAGTGCTTGTGTGTTTCCTTTCACTGCTAATTGAAAGTTTGTGTAGGAACATATAAGCCTAAATATCACAATAATCCACTATATTCCATTTCTAGTTCAGGGTACAATGTTCGAAAGAATTTCTAGCATTGTTATAAGAATTATACTGTTATGACAAAGGGCATATGCATAACATATAATTCTTCTTTGGTAGGGGGGGAGGTTGGTTGTAGTAAGTTTCCTTCTGATAATATAATTTGAAAATTATACTCCCACTGCCATACACAGAGAAATGAGAAAATGATATTTGTTTCATACATGCCTTAAGAAGAAAACTCGAATGTCTAGACCAGTTTCATCTGTGAAATTTTTGTTATAGTTGTATACTGTACACAAATAGGCATACTTGTCGTTTCATGATCATAATATTGTGGAGAAAGCACTCAAAGTAACTTTTATAGATGTCTGATTTTGAAGCAAACAATGCATTACCACTGCATAAGTTAATAATTTTACCCAAGTTAGGCATATAATTTTTGGGTTAAATGTGATTTAACCTTCATATTGTATTTCAGCATCCTGTTGCATTGATGTATCACTCTACACACTTGCATCCATCTCTAATTCAATTTGATCACAGTCTCTTCTTATTCAAAAACAACATTAAAATCAGAATCATTGCTACATGTTTTGGCCCTACTTGGCCCTCCTCAGGCAACCATTCACTTTTTGAAACCCCAACACTGCACTAGTTCCTAAATCAAAATGTTTCAGTGCTGTTGTGTTCAAATGTTTGACTACTGGAAACAACATACTAATGGGGCACATGAAACTAACAATGATAACACCACTATGCCAATGTTCATAGGGATAAATAAAGTAGCACAAAAAACATGGATGCTGAAAGAGGAAAATCATGTGGGAAAAGATAAAGAGTTACATTTTCAAACAATTGTATTTTAGTGCGAATGACAAAAATGCAATTGTTTGATAATGTACCTCTTTATCCTTTCCCACACGATTTTCCTCTTTCAGCATCCATGTCTTTTGTGCTACTTTATTTATCCCTATGAACATTGGCATGGTGCTGTTATCATTGTTATTTTCATGTGCCCCGTTAGTATGTATGTTCCCAGTAGTCAAACATTTGAACGCAACAGCATTGAAATATTTTGATTTAGGAACTAGTCCAGTGTCAAGGGTTCAAAAAGTGAATGGTTGCCTGAGTAGGGCCAAGTAGGGCCGAAACATGTAGCAGTGATTGTGATTTCAATGTCATTTTTGATTAAGGAGAGATTGTGAATAGAGTTGCATTAGAGACAGAAGTGAATGTGTAGAGTGATTTAACCTGATGTCAGCACCTGAAACAATTTAATGAAAGGTTAAGTTCTATGCTAGTTAACTTCCTTTCCTCCAGAACCAAAGAAAAGTATTTAAATTTTCAAAAACCTCATGTAATCTCCATATCAAATGTCTATGTGTTCCAGAATATACGCATGGAATTCTGCTCTTTAATGAGGGAAGAAATATTGCAGCTTGTTGGAAATGTGAATAGAATCTATTAAAAGTGTGACTGCAATATGCAAGTTAGTTTCAGAATGTTGGAATATTACTTAGCAAGCAAATGTACTGATGTAATGCAATTATTATACTGTACATCAGTGTCACAGTGCCTGAAATACGTAATTATCACATGACTTCTGCCTTTCAAATTTATAAAATAACAAAATCCAAAAATCATGCAGCCAACTTCTTTGACAAGACCCCCATTTAAGAGTGCTAGAATGCATTGTTGACATTGATGGTGACAGAGGTTTTCATCCTTAAACAAACATTTCGTTTATGAAATTAAATAGTGTTTTCAGCATAACCTAAACAATTTCTCCTCTCACCCCATTAAATATAGATTTTTCTCTGAAGGTCTGGCATCTGTAAGCAAGTTACATAGTCACATGATATTAACAGTGATCAAAATCAAGTAAGGAAATGTTGCTTGCCGCCAGAAATTATGTTCATTACAAATTGCTTCTTTGAAGATGAATATATAGGCAATATTCAACACTTCAGTGCAGAAATTTATTTACACAGAAACTAGCTATCCTTTTCAGGGTGTAACACTAACCACTCACCTCCATGTGGATCTAAACATCTACTCCCCATACACTTTCACGGTGTAGTGCTTAATTGGTTAAGCACAGGGACAAATTTACCTGTACTAGCCATCCTTTGGGATGTTAGTAGTTCAAGAATGACAGTTACAGGGTTAACAACATTAATTCTGGCTCAGCTCATTGACAAATACTGATACTATAGATAAATTCCTTTTAAATATGTTTTAATTTCTTAAACCTACATCAACTCTCTGGCAAAACATAAAAATATATCTTCAAATTCTGAGTTCCTAGTTTAAATTCAGTGTGAATATGTTTAATTTTATTGATCCATATTTCAATTTTATATATATATATATAAGAATTTTATGTCAAAAGGCAGCAGAAAGACATGTCAGCTTCATATGACACACACATGTAACTCAGAAGTTACATAGTATAGACTGTAAATTCTTCAGCCATGTAAAGTAATCCTCTGTTATTTTTACCTATATTAAATGTAACCTACAAGACTCCATGATAGTTACTGACATGTCCCCTGTGTGAAAAATTAATCATATGCAGTTGACACTAGTGTTTCCTTTGTTGAGATAAAAAATAGTCTATAATGTCCCTCACATTATTGTAATATTGTGGTTTGGAGAGTGGATAGTGGTGCTATAGTGAAAGATCTAAATAATTAGGTAGCTCAGAAATTGGATCATTTTCTCCTCTGAAATAGCTAAGTACTGAGTTTTGATGTATTTATTGACACAAAAATTCCTATCATTGCTTGCATTTATCAGACAGCTATATTGCCATTGACATTATAAAGAAAATCACCAAAGTTCAAAATGACCATCCCTTAGTATTGACAGTTAGTACAAGGAAATTAATGTTACTTCACAAGTAAGAAATTCCCTGTACTTGAAATATATTCATGTTGACAGATATTGTAATGAATACTATGAAGAAATTTCCTTTACTTAACACATAATCATTATATAAATATTACCACAGATGAGTGATGTTAATTGTAATGAATACTCCTGTTATACGCATGATATGTTAAGAATTAAAGTAATATGAAGAGGCTTCCATCATATGATGAAACTCAATTAAGACTATTGCCCAGGAAAGATATACAAATAGGAATTCTTCAGGTTATGAGTTCAGAATAAATCCTCTCAAATTTGGAGAGCAATACTTATTCCTATTTTATGATTCAGTATAGTTGGTACCTTAAATTATAATCCATATTTTAAAATGAAGTTCATTATATGAATAACCCACCACCAATACCATAAGTTTATGACAGACTCAGCATGAATAACAGAATCAGAGACTGCGATGCCAAGAATTCCCATAAGTGTATATGTTCACGTGTTTGATGGTGACACTTCTAGTCAGATAAAGAGTCAAAATACAATTTTACTTGATAACAGATTTGAGGGTAATGAGTAAGTAACCTTTAACAAGTCATACTTGGAACTCATAAAATTAATAAATATGTATGTATATATATATATGTATGTATGTATAAACTGAATCGAGCAGTTTGATTGTATGAAAATACGAAAACCAGTGCAGGTACATACAACAGTCAAGTGAAAATACTTCATGCCCTTTTCACATTGTTATTGCTGACAAGTGCATATCTGATTACGACATGTTTTGTGGTCATGAAAGTAAAACACCATTCTATAATTCTTTGCTCTTTTTTATGAAGGAAGCACTGATGAAGAAATTAAAATTTTGTGGCCATTGCTGCTATGTTTTTTTGCTTTGAAGCTTGTCCAATAAGCTGCCACTTAAATTAAGAGCAGTTTTGATCTTGTCCATTTTAATGTCATCATGATCATCACATTAATTTCTTGTCAGAATTATGGCACTCCACATATTACTTTTCATACACTATAAAATTTAAATGTATAGTGTTTAACCATTGCCATGAAATTGGACAACTTATTCAATCTTGGCAGTGCTTTAGAATGCAGTTACTTGCCAACTGAAATTTGCTGCAGTGATTTTAGCTGTCTACAATTTTGTAATAAAGAAAGTGTGTTTGTCAGTCTGCAGTGGCGATGTTCCTCTAGGTTTTTGCCTTAGCAGTGCAAAACCATACACATAACACACAAAAAGTTGGATATCTTGCTTGACTAATAACTCATTTAATACTTTTCCTCATCATTATCTCTTAGGAAATGTGATAATATTATTTTACTCCATATTTATATGAGAATTATAATAAATCTTTACACATAATTGTTGAATTTATTCAGGAACTGTTTGAGTGTTGTTAGAACTTGTCAGGCTGCTTAACATCTGTTATTATTTCCTTCCAGATAATTATAACGTATCTTAGTTGTACAAAAAATCTTGCGGCATAATGTACTTCATAATAATCAACGTTTAGCTGACGAATAGCTTATTTAAGGTGAAGGAAGATGAAATAAAAGTGTTGTTATTTTTGAAAAATATTTTTTCCTAGCTATTGAAATGTATTGAAGATGGACTGTGCTTCGTTTTCGAGTGGACTTTATTATCACATTATTATTACTATTATCAATAATAATATACATGTCCTGAATGAATGTATCTAAACTTGAGATTGCTGCCAGTGTTTTTATTGGCTAAAGAAGATGGATGTGTTAACAGGCAAAATAAAGCTTAAATAAGTGCCAGAACTTTTGAGTTTTTCCCTTCAACATTATTTCCTAAACAGTTCCTTCTCCTCTTTCCACTTCTTGCTTGAATTATAAGCTGTTACCTTTTCTCCACACTTTATTTGCACATTTTTTTTGCATTTGGAATAGTTCTTTTAGGAGATAAATCCTGAGATATTCTGACAATCCCGTTACTTTCCATGTGACATATGTGCTTCATACTTCATGATATTTTATGATCTATTCTTTCTCAGTTTGACACTATGTTTCTGTCTTATGTTATTCCTTCATTAAATGTGACAGTGGTAAGTTTCATTAACATTTTTTGACACATTTCAGTCTTAATTAAAATCAGACAGAAATAATGGATAGTGCACATGAAGACATGGATACATTTCTGCACATATCTTCAACATAACTCACTAAATACCCTTTCGAAACTAAAGGTGTGAAGGAAAACGAAACACTCATTTTGTACCCAATCTAATTTTTCAAGAAGTTTAAACAAAAGGAACACTGTGCATAAATTTCCAAGCTTGTGTATTCAGCAATGAAAAATGGTCTCCAAACAAATCTGAAGTTATTATTCAAGTCTCTTATTCTCAATAACAATTAATCAAAGCTTTCTCCCACCTAAATTTATAGGTCTACATCAATATAATTATGCAGGGTAATTCAGAGTCCTATGCCAAAACTCAGGAAGTTGGGGAAATAAGGGAAGAGAATGTAAATATATTGTCACATGTTAGTGAGTAGACATGAGATTTGGATTGATAATTGGATTTACTGAACAGTTATAACATGTAACTACACAGGTATATAACACTATTGCTAATCTACAGGTTTTGCTCATTAGCAGCTCCCAACAATGGGAATTCCCGTGCTTCCATATTTAACCTTTAAGAGCCGAGCGACGCCATATGGCGTCATTAAAATAAAGTCAAGGGGACGAATGACGCCATATGTCGTCGCGCAGTCCACGCGTGCGGCCGCCTTTTTAAAAACTAATTTTAAGTTATAAATTCTTTTTCTACTTACATGATTTTTGGTCACCAGCTTTATAAGTTGTCTCTCTTCCCACCTGCATCATCTAACAGAATGTTGGCTTCGTGTGGAAATCTTGGAAACATCCGGAAATGCAGAGTCCCACATCACACTTCACGCACTTTATCCGGACAGTTCTTCGTTTCCCACGCGAAGAGCACACTCGACACCTCAATTTCGAAGTAGAGGAAGTCAACCAGTGCTGTTGTTTGGCCTCCTCTATTCGAAATGACCCCAATGAAACGGCAGAGGTTCGACCCCTGGGC